TGCAGAGGACTTGAGTTCACTTCCCAGCACTCATGCAAGGCGGCTCATAACCACCTAGAATTCCAGATCCTGGGATTCTGGGTCCCTCTTCTGGCTACTCACAGGCAAATCGCAACCCACCCCCAGAAACTCTCTCTCTCTCTCACACACACACACACACACACACACACACACACACACACACACACACAATTAAAAATAAAAGTTTATTTTTTCCTTAAGATTTCATGAATGTGAGAAAAACCCAGGCTAGAGTGACACTGTGTTGGGGTCAACACTGGGTTGGAGAAATGGCTCACTAGGTAAAGTACTTGCCACACAATCATGAAAACTTGAGTTGGAATCCCTAGAACTTGTATAAAACTGAATACCGTCATGCTTGCATATCTGTAATCCCAGTGCTCCTCCTGTGAGATGGGTAGGGGACAGGAGAGCCCCCAGAAACTCAGGCTAGCTGCCATGGTGTGTGCACTGGCAAACAAAAACCCCTCACCTGAGGTAGAAGACAAGGACCACACTCTGGCTTCCATACTCATGCTGTTACCTGTGCATGCAGCCCCCTTCACACAGACATGCACACATCACACACATACACAGATTAACTAGTTTATTGGTTAGTAAACAAATAAATAATGCAAGGTGTTTAAAAAGAACATTGGGTCTATATTAATTTAAGTCTAGGTTCTGCATATGAGAGAAATATTTCTCTTACTATAATGATCTCCAGTTCTGTTCTTTTTTTCCTACAAATATTATGATTTCATTCTTTTTTTTTAGAACAGAACAAACTTCCACCTGTATATTTTCTTTATCCATCCATCTATTGATGGACATTAGGCAGGTTTCATTCCCTGTCAATAGCGAAGAGTGCAGCAATAAATTAGAATGTTCGGGAATCTCTCTGCTGTGTTGAAGTAGGGCCCTGACATACATACATACTCAAGAGAAGCAGAGCTGGATCATATGGTAGTTCTCGGTTAGTTTCTCCAGGACCTTCCACCCTGATTTCCACAGTGAGATTAGATGTTTGTCAGTCAGAGCACAGGGTAGTTCATACTTGTTCCTGCCTGTGTCTTAATGGCCTCCAGCAAGCCTGATGTCCATAGGACTGCAGTTAGCAGAGATCAGGTCACTCAGCTCCTTTTCTCAGAGACAGAAGGCTTCAGAGGCAGCATTCCTTCCCTTTCACACAGAACAATTAGAGGATAAAGGAGTTATAGGACCCAGGAGCCCTTGTTTCTCAGGAGGCCTTTTCCTTGTGAGTCTGTAGAGGGTAGGAGGCAAATTCCATTTTGGTCTGAATCACTGCCCCGAGGGAGTGGTGTGGATCAGATGGTGGTGAAAACTTGTCCTTAGATGTAAGGTAACTGGTGTTCTCTCTAACAAGTTTGGAACTTATTATTAATCCTAGGACAATAGGGGAAAATATCTCATTTGACTTGAAAGTGCATCTCATGGATATCTTTTAGAGCAGTGGTTCTCAACCTTCCTTGTGCTGCAACCTTCAATACAGTTCCCCACATTGTGCTAACCCCAACCATAGAATTACTCTCTGCTACTTCAATAACTGCAATTTTGCTACTGTTATGAATCATAATGTGAATATCCGATATGCAACCCACAAGTTGAGAACCACTGTTTTAGAGCACCAAGAATGCTTCCCTAAAAGTTTTAATTCATACATTTATGTCTTCAATCCACTTGCCGCATTTGTAAAATACTGTGTGAGGCAAGGATCAACTTGTTGGCTTTCCTATAGGATAGTCCATGACTCAGCATCACTTGTTAATAATATTCCCCAACTCTTTTAAAAAATAGTTGTTAGGTACCTTGTTAGCGCAATAGGGGGCGTGTCAGTCTCATAAAATAGTCATTGCTTAATTTATTACTATCATTATTAGTCATCATTTTATTTTATGTGAGTGGGTATTTTGCCTTCATTTATGTCTGTGTACCATATATATGCCTGATACCTATAGAGTTCAGAAAAGACATCAATGCCCTAGAACTGGTGTTACAAATGGTTGTGAGCCACACGGTGGGTACTGGAAACTGCACTTGGTCCTCTGCAAGAGCAGCCAGTGCTCTTGATGACTGAGCCGTCTCTCCACCATTATTTATTTATTTAGAAAGAGAGAGAGTGCATGTGTGTATGCTACAGTACAAAACTAGCTCTCAGTAAATGGTAAATGATTCAGTGAGCTTTAGATCTGTCTTTCCTAGTCTGGTTTCCTTTGAATGGAGCGCTGGGTGGATCCAGAACTTTCTCAGAGGCTCTGATGAATGGACAAAGGGAACACTAGTTCTGTGTCCTTGCCTGGGGCCACAGTTGGCAAGGCTGCAGCTGGGGCTAGGGCCACGGTCTTGAAGGAGTTAAGGTTTCAGCTCCTGGAAACCCAACCTTTCCCTCTGAAGGCCTGTGCTCAACAGTCTTGAGGCAGCTGTGTCTGAGATATCCTACATTCTCTTTGACAACATTGTTTGACTTAGTTTTCTGCTCACCTTGGCCCATTCTCCTCTTATAAATAGCATATAGGATGATGTACTTCTTAATAAATTTGCTTGACATTAACCCTCAGATCATACAAGGCATCCTGGTCCCAGATCTGCCTTCTGTGCTTTCTCATCCCCAGTCCTCCCCACTTGCAGTTTGGGGTGCTGATTCCTGCAGGTTTGGGTTGTAGTACGACTGGGAACATGGGCCTTTTAATACCATGTGACCCCTGTTGTCTCCTAGCTGTCGTTTTTCTCTGACACTGGCAGATTGCCCTAAATCTCCACCCCCTTTTATTCACCTTAGTATCTCACACTTCACTTAGCTTCAAATGTTTTACTGCCTTAAAACTTGTTTTCTCCATTCTCACAATTCTTTCACTCCTTTCCTGAATTATCTTTTAAGTGTGATATATGTATGCACAAGAATACTACAGCACATACTGAATTATGAAGCAACTTAGTGAATGTGCAAAGCCACACCCAGCCTAGTAACAGCAGTATTGGTTTGTTGCCCTTAGTTGTCACTTCCCTTGTCTTACTTACATCTCTGCCAACATCTAAGAGGCAATTGTTCTCCTGAAGTGTGGGTTCCTACCCTCTTGGTTTTCTTTTCAAATGTAGGTTCATGCCATGTAGGAATATTCCAGGAATATATATAACCTAGACTTACCAGGTCCTGAGCTCTATAACACAGCTTTTTTTTTTTTTTTCATTCATCATCATGTTTCTTTTCCTGTTTGCTTGGTTTTGTTTTGAGACATGGTCTTGCTATGTAGACCAGGCTGTCCTCAAAGTCCCAAATGTGCCCAAATACTGGAATGAAAGGCAGGTGCCACCATGCCCAACTTCAGCATCGGGCTTCTAAGATTCACCCCGTGTGTGTGGCTGTGGCTCATTAATTAGATGAAGGAACACAGGAAGATCACACTCTATGAGACTCGATTTTCCTTGCTTCCTGATGCTTGTCTGGATTGTTTGCTTCTTGCTGCTTAGGATAACATTGCTTCTAACTCTGTTGTCATGTCTCTTGGCCACGTGTGCAGTGAACTTTCTGCCAGTGTTGGACTCTAGAAAATAACACCAAATTGTTTCCAAAGTGTCTTGTCCATTTGCTCTCAAGCCAGGACAATTTAACAATTGTCATTGATTCATAGCTTCTCCAGCCCTTGTCATTATCATATGTATGTCTTGTTCATTTTCTTTATGAAATGTCAACCTGCATCTCCTCTTTGTTATAATATGTGTGTCCTTAGAATAGACTGTAAGGGTGTTCTGTAAGTTTGTTACCAATTATGATTCCGTTTCTGTGAAATATCTAGGTGTCTTTTTCCCCGTTGAAAAATACTGATTATTTGAAATTTTCTTTGTTAAAGTTATTGTATTTGATTCTAAATTTCTTCTCAACTATAGAAATTACTAATATTTTCACCCAATTTGTGACCTCCTTTTCTGTTTTTTTAGTAGTATCTGTATAAGTAGAAGTTCCTAAATCACAATGAAGTTCAATTTACCATTGTTTCTATTGTAAATAGAATTTTTATCTCATTTTTTAAAAAAATATAATCTGTGCCTGGCAGTAGTGGTGTACACCTTCAATCCCAGCACTTGGGAGGCAAAGGCAGAAGCAGGTGGATCTTTGCCAGTTCGAGGCCTGCCTGGTCTAAAGAGTGAGTTCCAGGAAAGCCAGGACTACACAGAGAAACCCTGTCTCAAAAAAAATAAAACCAAAACCAAAGAAATATAATCTGAAATAATGATTTTTTTCCTAAAAGATTAAAAGGCTTTATTTTTCACATGTACAGTCAACTGGAATTCATTTTTATATATGGTATTAATTAATTTTTTCTCATGAATAAACAATTATCATCTAAGAACATTTTTAAGAATATTTATTTTGGCTTAGAGAAATAGTCACAAAATGTGTTGCTATGATGACAAACATGTAATGCAACAAAATATGTGAAATCCAGAAAACACTAAATGTAACAATAACTATAAATATATTCACACACACATAAAATCTAACACAAAGATACTAGAATAACCCGCTCCCAAATAACAACAGTAATTATGTTTGGATGGTGGTTATCGGTGATTTTGTTTATTTCTGTTGTTGTTCTATTTTCCAAATGCTCTGCCTTGACCCTATATTAACTTATTTTTTCAAATAGAGATAAATAACATTGTGTATATGGTGATAACAGAGTTCAAAGCACTTTAGAGAGAAACTATCCATTGAAAGATAACCGTTAATATCTTCCAACCCAACTTTTACAAAAGCTCTTTCACTGCAAGATTAAAAAAGAAAAGAGCATGTGGGCTATGTAGTAAGTTCCAGCAGAAAGTGAAAGAGCTAAATTCTGCACCTTGGACAATTCTTGAGAATGGTCATATAAAGCCCAGTCCCGTGTTGTTTGCTCTACAGGCATGTAAGGCTCTGCAGAGTAGACTGAATGTTCTTATGTGTATCATTACTGATTCAATTATTTCTTTTCGCCTAACAGCAGATAATGAAAAGACTCATAAAACGGTATGTTTTGAAAGCACAAGTCGACAAAGAAAACGATGAAGTGAATGAAGGTAAGCATCTCCAGTTGAGAAACACCTTTCTTCATAGCTAATTTAAGGAACATGGGAGCTAAGGCAGGGTTATTGCTGCAAGTTCAAGGCTGCCTTGGGTTACATAGTGAGTACTAGGTCAATCAGAATGGCATAGCAAAACACTGTCAAGAAAAGGTTTTTAAGCCCCAAACCATAAATAAATAAAGATTGAAGGCTAGCACCACAGCACAGGACTAGAATCAGAAAGAAATAAACCTGGAGCTGGAGAGGTAAGAGCAAGTGCTAGTCTTATAGAGGACCTGAGTTTGATTCCCATCATCCATGCTGGGGAAGCTCACAACTACCTGTAATTCCAGCTCCAGGGACTTTGCAATGCCTCTGACCTCTGCAGACACCTGTACTCATTTGCAGACACCTACACAAACACACACATACACACACACACATGTACACACACACACACACACACACACACACAGAGATACATAATTAAAAATAAATGGAAGCTTCTTTCCAACCCAGATAAATTGCCACTAGATCTGTGTGTCCTGATAAGAGAACGGCTAACTTAGCAAATGGTATTGATGAATGGGCTTTGAAACCATTTCCTGGTGAACATAATGAGTCCCTTTTAAATCTGAGTCAAACCAGTGGGATATGTTAATAGGAAAAAAAACTATTAATATATAATGAAGGACCGGGAAAAATATCCTATTATGCTGGCCTATAAATAGGCTCAAGAAGGTGATATTGGAATGGACAATGTAGAAAAAGAAATCTTATCAGTTGTTCTATAGCCTCTTTCAGAATACAGAGCTAGCTAATGTACATGGAAAGTCATGTGACTGTAATAGTGCCAAAAATGATCAGCATTTGAACCCTTGCCCCAAAAGGGAAATTGGTAAAGATCAAGTTTGAAGGAAGTTCTTAATAAGAAAGTTGACTAATAGCACATAAGCATATTTGATGAGGCAATTCTTTTTTTTATCTGGGAGGCTAAAGTCCAAGGCTGAATCCTATATTCAGTGGATTCAGAAGCAAAGAAAGAGGGACTAGAGATGAAGGAGCTCACTGTGGGAGAACCTTCACTCAGCACACGAGACTTATTTCAAACCAGACCACATTATTCCTCTATTTTCCCATATGCCACAGGAAGTACTTTTTGATTTTTTTTTGTGCCACAAAATGAATTCACAAATGGCTGATATATACTCTTGAATAAGAGTTATTAAGACTTTCTTAAAATGAAAAGATTTTCATGGTATCTTTAGTTTTGTTTTTTGTTGTTGTTTTGTGATGTTAAGAATTGAATCCATGACTCCATACATGCTATGTTATGCACATGCTCTACTACTGAATTATAGTTCATTTGACATTTTATATAATAAAAAAAACATACATACTGGAGCATGTAACACATGCCTGTCATGCCAGAAGTCAGGTGGTGGAAGCAACAGTGTCAGGAGTTCAAGGCCAGCTTTAGCTACACAGTGAGGTGGAGGCTTGGGTTACATGGGGCTCTGTCTCCATAATTATAATCATTAATCATACAAATTAAACTTAAAAAGCATCATGAAACTGTCCTGATAAACAACTACCCTACATTGTATCCAATGGATATTTATAATCACTATTTGTCACTTAAAAATAAAGATTATTAATAAAGGGAAATATCCTCAGAGATATCTTTTCATATTAGTCTATTATTTAAAAAAAAAAAAGATGAAATCTGAGTTTCATGGGTTATCAGGATGGATTCTTAGGATCTCTGTCTCTAAATTTACTTTCAATGCCAATGATTTCTCTACATCACAGTTAAGTGACTCCCCAGAACAGTCCTGTTTTCCATTGCAATCCATGTATGCTCAGAGTACTGCCCCACTGAATTTTTGGAGCAGCTGGGCTTTAACCTCTCAGCACTGTCTCTCCTGGAGAGACAGGAGTTTGCATGCTGCAGGGGACATCTCCACTGGCTTCCTCTGCTCCTGACAACCTGCCTCTGCACCAGGCAGACCCAGCCCAATGTTCTTACCACTATCTAATGAGCAGCTCCCTTTGTATCTTTCCTTTCTCTTCACCAAGTTTGACATAAATTCACTTCTATGTATTTGCACATTAATGCAATTTATTTTTAGTTGAGCAATGGAAGCTGACAGATGTTTGTGTGTCAACCATCTGCCAAAAGGGAACAAAAGGACTCCTTGTGTCTAGCAAGGGAACAGCATGATTGTTTGGGGGGGAGGGGTTGTTTGTTTGTTTTTTGGTTTTGGAGATAGGGTCTCCTATCTTGCTTTGTACATCAGGCTGGTCTCAAACTCACAGACATCTACCTACCTCTGCCTCCCAACTGTTAAGATTGAAGGCATGCATCATCATGCACTCCAAAAGTGTGCTTTTACTTTAATCCTATGAAAACACATCTTAATCATTTGCTTTAACATTATGAGTAATGTTGTAGTTGGCTAACCCTGTACCTTAAAGAAAGGCTGGGCCATAACCCAGTGGCAGGTGTACTTGCCTGACTTACACAGGATTTGATCTTAAACAACAAAAGGCACTTCTTGAAACTGAGTTTTACTATTACAGACACAAAATACTTTAGAGCTCCTTTAAAGGTCATTATGCCTTTAAAGGCTGGATTTTCCCTCCCTCCCTCCCTCCCTCCCTCTCTCCTTCCCTCCTTTCTTCCCTTCCTCCCTCCCTCCCTTTTTGTTTTGTTTTTTTGCTTTTCAAGACAGGGTTTCTCTGTATAGCCCTGACTGTCCTGGAACTCACTTTGTAGACCAAACTGGCCTTGAACTCACAGAGATCCTATTGCCTCTGCCTGCCTGCGTGGTGGGATTAAAGGCCTGTGCCATCACCATCCTGCTAAGGTTGGCTTTTCTTAAACAACTTAAAGAATAATTTGAAATATCTACCTTGGAGACTCTGTGAAGCAAATGTATTCAGGTTGAGTAAATTTCACTTGGTGTTTTTTTGTCTAAATATGAAGAGCAAATCACCATTTACACATTTTTTTTTAATACAAATACTCTAGGTGAACTGAAAGAAATCAAGCAGGATATCTCCAGCCTTCGTTATGAACTTTTGGAAGACAAGAGCCAAGCAACGGAAGAATTAGCTCTCTTGATTCATAAACTCAGTGAGAAACTGAACCCCAGTGTGCTGAGATGTGAATGATGTGAATGAGGCAGCAACCCGCAGTCAAGCTCTGACTATAGCACAAATGTGGGCAATAATACTCCTAAGTATGAAATACTTGAAAATCTATGGTGTAAAGTTCTAGTGTTAACTGCGTTTATCATACAAAACTTTAAAATTAAGCTAGGTGGTAATGATTTCCATTACATGAAACTGATTACAGCAATTGACCTCACCACTGCAAGCAGTGACATGCTATTGTATTTAGAAGCCCAGTGTTAAGGTCACTGACATGTTTGTCATTTTTTTCTTTATATTGCCCGTTGGCCTCTAAGAGACTATAAGCTCCTTGGGGGACAGGGACCACATCAATCTCATCTTTATGTCTCCAGCATTTAGTGCAGTGCCTGGTACATAGTAGGTGCTTGGTAAATGTTGAAACCAACTGGCCTGAACAGCCAATAGCATCCAAAAACAGATAAAAGACCGTTGTGATGTAGCATACCCTCTCATCCAAATGCTGAAGCAATTTTTTAAAAAAATAGAAACTGAGGAAGTTTTACACTGAGCTACGACTTATTGAGATTTTTCTTAGACTTTTAGGCATCACTGACAATCCTAAGACCTTTGAAACTCAAGTGAAGAACTTAACAGTGAAATGAACTGATTGGAAATACAGTTATTCTACATATTTAAGTTTCATAGTGTTGTTCAAAAACAATCATTAAAGATTTTTCTAAAATAGATGCTTGTGTCCATTCTCTTTGTATTTGTGGTTTGATGATGTGAACTTAGTCAATAAAGAAGTGTTTTGTTTTATTTTTTATGTTAGGGGTTATTGTAGGCTTTATTTTTATTTTATTTATTTATTTATTTGTAATCTTCTAGTGTGTATCTCTGATATTTTATTGCTAAATAAGATCAACAGCTGACTCCTTATCTTGCCTCTGCTCCTTTCTGGGTTTTGAATCCATGGGGAGCATCTTAATCACTATTCTATTGCTATGAAAAGATATGATCAAGGCAACACATAAAAGAAACCATTTAATTAGGTGGTTGCTTATAGTGCCAAAGGTTTAGTCCATTATCATCATGGAGGGCAGTACACTGGCAGACATGGTGCTGGAGAAGGAGCTCAGAGTTCAACATCCTGATCCACAAGCAGCATGGAGGGACCCCGAGCCTGGCATGATCAACATGACTTTCTAGTCTTAAAAACAAACAAACAATGATATCATTGCTTTCACACAGAAAGACTTACTAGACATGAAGATAAAAATGAACACCAACTGCAGCTTCCTATAACTCATAGATTAACTAATTTCTACCTTAGGGGAGTTAAGAAAAAATATATATATATATATATATATGTGTGTGTGTGTGTGTGTGTGTGTGTGTGTATACTGCTGTAGAATTATTTCATCAGTTTCAGTTCAAATTTTATGAAATTCATGCAATGCCTCTGAACAGAATAAAATAGTGATTTTTTTTCATTGTGACATGTTGTTATGGTATCTAAACCAGGATCAGACACTGAAATGCCAGTCTCCTTGAAAGTCTGAGAGAGAAATGGCCTGACTAAAAGCTGGGGAGCCTTTCTATAGTCAGGCTCTGACCTTTGGTTACAAAAGCATAATATTTGTTACTTTAGTTAGCTATTTTCATGATCATAGGAAAAAGTATATGTAATTTTTATAGTTAGCCAGTTCTTGGAACATAACCATAAAACAATGAAAACAATTTACAGTGTGTAAATCACAAGATTATAGAGGAAGAACCAGTCAGAAACAAACAAACAAAACAAGTTGGCCGTTAGCTTGGGACATGATTAGAGAAAAACACCATAGGGAACAATATAGAAATAAATTCTAACATTATGTTTAGAAAAGGGAGAAAACAATGCAGTCTGCTGACCCTTCACAATGCTACGATGGGTGCATTGAAACAGTGATGACAAGGACCACACCCGATTCCTCTCTCTTTTTCACATTATGGTCTAAGGTTCCAAATGTTGAAATGTTTGTTTGTAACTAGGGAACGGAACACATAGTTAATAATTTCCTAATAGAGGTTAGAAAAAGGCTGAAAACAGCAGAAGAGTCTCAGAATCCAGAATTGCAGGAGTACGTAGGTAAAGCCCATGGCTTCCCTACCATTTATGTATTTTCATTTTTTTTTTCTTTTCTTTTTGGCCATGCCTCCCTTGCAGCTAGAGAGCTCTTGAGATACAATTTCTATCCATTTACCTCACTTGTATAAAACTGGCATCCTGTTGTTTTGTATTTACCTCACTTACGGTTATGGCTTAGGTTAGCAATGGGTTTGATCATAGCATTGTCGTGTCTGTGTCATTATACTTTGTTCTCTTGCTCACTGCAGCCCACCATGGTTCCTGCTCCCTTCTGATAGCTTCCTTTCTTCTCCCAGCACATTATCTTGTGTTTCATTTTTTTTTTCCTTCTTCGTAGTTTCGAGTTACTAGTAGAGAAGGGAGGTAATGACAGGCTCGGTGGGCACTGCTTTTACCCTGCCCCATCCCCTGTACTGGGATGCACACCCAACTCCCTGATACTCCTGAGCAGTTCCCAGCGAGTCTCTGCCTTCTACCAAAAGGAAGTAGCTTCTCCTATGGTTAGTAACTGCCTGGTTGTGGGTACAAAAGGCTGCCCTCCCCCAAGGTAAGGCTAAACTTTTGGCACAATCCTTGACCTAGGAGAGCTTCCAAAGGGATGAAGAGAAGCCAGACTCAAAGTTGAAAGGGTTTTATGGCAAAAGCCTATCTTGACAATTAGGGCCAAAGAATGACATGAAAATCACACCGTGCAACAGACCTCACACAAGGGATATATTAGGCAGGAGTGCAGGATGCAAAAGGTTGCCTCTGAGCAGGAATTGTGTGTGTTGGGAGGGGAGGGCAAAATAAGGGAGAGACCATGTCCTGATGGCAGGCTTCACAGTGGGTATGGAGCATGTGCAAAGGGAAAATGTGCAAATGTTGGAACGGAAACATGTTGCATGAGTGGTGATGGGGGCCACTGAGTCACTGAATGCAGGAGGAACCTAGTTCCGGAATTGTTCTTAGTTGACTAACAAAACTTGATAGATGTGTTTAACTTTTACCCTGCCTTTTCTTACTCCTTTTTACTTGGGAGATTCCCACACGGAATCGCTGATCCCCAAGTCTTAACTAAGTTTTGCTTCTGGAAATACACCCTAAGGCATAGGTCACTGTGAGGGTTAGATAAAGGATTACTGTCAGGAGTAATTATTTCTTTGGGGCTTAAAGAGGGCTGTGAGTCAGCCATCCTTAGCCCCACCATCTGTTTTAGAGGCAGAGAACTCCAGGAAGGAGCGTTCAGCAATGTGCTGGCACAGTTCAGAGAGGAAAAGCTAACAAGACCAAAATCACCCTGTCCGCAAAATGACATTTAGACGCTCTCAGTCAAAGGATTGTCAGACTCAGGACTTCTGTTCTGTTATGTCTTGCTTTTTTACTTTTATTTTGTTCTTTTTTTTTCTTTCTTAGTCAAAAACAAGATAAAAAATAATACTCAAGTCATGGTTTTAATAGTATATTTAACAAATTTGGTACATGGAAAGGGTCACACAAATTTTTCTGGGTCCAAAACTAAAGAAAGTCATAAATCAAGGCATTTGGGGAATCAGGAATGCAGTCTCCAGATACTTTCTGATAGCATCCTTAAGTTTGGGTGGTGGGAGATAATGCTATTATGTTATGCATTTAAAAGTATTTTAGCCGGTAGTTGAAAGGAAATTAAATCAAACACAGGTGTGGGAACAAATAGCTATAAGAGTACTAAAAATCATACCAGGTAATTTTGGCTATAGACCTGTAATTCTCCACAATTGAAAAGTTCTAATCAGTTGTCCTTGGCTTGCTCTCTCTCTCTCTCTCTCTCTCTCTCTCTCTCTCTCTCTCTCTCTCTCTCTCTCTAAGAAACTCAGTCCACAATATATTCTTGACATTAAGTCTTTATCAGATCAATAATTTACAAACATCCGCTGTTCTGTAAATTGTCTCTTTACTCTTTTGTTTGCTTCCTTTTTGCCGGAAGTGTCTTGGCCCTATACAATCCTGTTTGTCTCTTTATTGCATTTGTTTCCTGGGCTTTTTGGATTTTGTCCAAAAATAATCATCATCTGTATCAAAGTCCTGATGTATTTCCCTTATCTTCCCCCACTCTATCCCACCCCACCCATCCCCCACCCCCACCCCTGGTAGACTTTTGTTTGTTGTTTTTGAGATGGGATTTCTCTGTATATACTTGACTGTCTTGGAACTCATTGTGTAGACTAAACCGACCTTGAACTCACAGGTTTGCCTGCTTCTGCCTCAGAGTGCTGGGATAGAGGTGGAGGTCACCATGACCAGCCTCTCACTGTGGTTTTGTAGCTTCAGGTATTATCTTCATATCTGTTTTCTGTTGGTTTTTGTGTAGAGTTGGAGATAAGAATCAGGTTTCATTCCTGTTTTCCCAGCACCATCTGCAAAGAGTTTCTATTTTCTCTAGTGCTGTTTTGAACACTTTTATTGATGATCAATTGGCTGTAGATGTTTTGAATTATTTCTAAACTTTTTATTCTGTTCCTTTTGTCTATTTATTCTGTTCCTTTTGTCTATTTGTAGGATCCAGGTCATTACCATGATATAGCACTGTGTGTATCTTGAGATTTGGCATTGTAATTCCTCTAGCCGTATCCTTTTTTGGTATTTGGGTCTTTTTTATTTCCATATATATTTTGTGATTTTTTTTCTAGTTCTTTGATATTTTGGTGAGATTGTGTTGTATCTATGTGTCACTATGAGTAGCATGGTTATCTTCACAGTATTAATTCTTCCAATTCAAGAATATGGGGTGGTTTCTTGTATGTCTTTCAATTCTTTCATTAGTGTTACTCATATGCTTTCTAAATGTTTGTTTCTTGAGACAGTGTCTCACTATATAACCCTGGCTGTCCTGGAACTTATTGTGTAGTAGACGAGGCTGGCCTGAAATTGGAAGACATCCCACCTGCCTCTGCCTCCTTAGAGATGGGATTAAAGTCGAGTGCCACACCTGCATCTCCTTAATAAAGTTTATCCCTAAGCAGTTTACAGTCTTGTGCCATCACACCCAACTTATATAGTGTTAGCAATCAAACCTAGAGCCTTCTGAATACTAGGCGAGCACTCTACCAACTGAGTCACGTACCCAGACCCCATAAGCAATTTATTTACTTATTTTATAACTATGGTGATGGGATTGCCTTCATCATTTCTCAGGAAGTTCGTTATTAATGCACAAAAACAAAGATTTTGTATGTTAATTTTGTATATCTCAATTTCATTGACTAAATTTATTTCACTCTTAGTGAGGTCTTTCTATGACTAGATCATATTATCTCAAAGAGAGACAATTTATCCTCTTTTCCCATTTGTATACTTTTATTTCTTTCTCTTCCTGGTTGTTCTACAGTCCAGTACTATACTAAGAGTGGCAAAAGGGAATGCTCATCCAGATATTAGGGGAAATGCTTCCAGACACCCCCCCTTCATTTTGACATTGGTATATAACACAAGTCCACAACAAGAGTGTTTGTCACAAAAGAATGCTGAAATTTCACTTTTTATTTTTAAGACAGATTTTCATCATGTTGCCTGGGGCTTTTAATCTGTGATCCCTTCCCCAGACCTATGAGGAGCTAGAATTACAGGTGTGCGTTATCACACGGAATGACTGTGGCTGGAGTGCTGCTGGAGTCATTGCTAGGTTTGGAGGGGTTATTTATTTTTGAGATTTTTACATCTCTGTTTTGTTAGTGATTGATTTCTACCTAGAGTTTTCATTTGGTTTGCTTTTTTGATTAATGTGTTAGCAAGAAGCTTTGCTTGTCTCTGTTCTTTTGTTTCTAAAACCCTTTTTTAAGCTTTTGTTAAATTTGAAGTGGAAGTTCTTATTAGCCACGTTGCAGCGCCATATTGATGTGAGTAGTTTTTCCTGCAGCTGGACCCACCCTGGCGCCAGCCCCAATTAACATACAGAGACTCTGTATTTGATATAAGGCTCTTGGCCAGTTACTTGTTTCTTATCACCTAGCTCTGTCTTAATTATTAACCCATTTCTATTAATCTAAGTATTTCCATGTGGTCTCATCTTACCGGGGAGTGGGGCCGGTGTCTCATCTCCCCAGTCTCTCCATGATGACTCCTTCTTACTCCTTCCTCGAATCCTCCTTGTCTCCTAGTCCCACCTATCTTCTCCTTCTTTTGTTTCTATTTTCAAGTTTTAGAAAAAGTAGATTTGTTTTTGCTCAGAATTCTGGTACATACCAGTTGGAAAGGAAGGGTTACACCTGATGAAGGTCTTTTTGTTAGCAGAGACTCAGGGTAACACAAGACAATACACACAAGAGGCTGTGTGTGTGTGTGTGTGTGTGTGTGTGTGTGTGTGTAGGTATGTGTGTGGGGGTATGTGTGTAGGTGTGTGTATGTGTGTAGGTATGTGTGTGTATGTGTAGTGTGTGTGTCTTGGGTCATTGTCTGATTTGGGTGTAAGGAAATGCTGGCCTACAAGAGTTTGGAAAAGTCCCATCCTTTTCAATTTTAGGGAATTGTTTGGGAAGAACTGGTGTTTTTGTTTGAAGTCCCTCTCTCTTTAGGTGTTATTAGTTTTTCAGATTTTCTGTGTCATTACCATTCAGGTTCTATATTTACTCTATTGTTTCAAACTCATTTATTTAGTATTAATGTTATGTTTTGATTTGATTTGTTTGGCCCAGAGTCTTGTACTGTGGCCCTGCAGGTGGGTGGGGGAATGGATGAAAGGGAACTGGTAACATGGCCCAGCAGTTAAAAGCACTTGCTAACAAGCTCAGCAAAGTGAGTTCTAGTCCCAGACCCACAGGGCAGAAGGAAAGAACTGATTCCTGAAAGTGTCCTCTGATTTCGACGTGCAACACCCCCCCCCAACACACACACACAGAGACATACATATTAAATAAATACATGAATACAGTTTTGTTTTGCTGCTCTTGCACAGGACCCCAGGTTCGGTTGTCATCAAATACATCTCAGGGCCTGACATCCTTAGGAGGCAACAAGCAAGTGATGCACATAAATACATGCATGCAATACTCATATGCACACAAATAAAAACAAATCTTTAGGGAAAGTTTGTATAACAACGCCTAAAATGAAGAACCAGGAGTAGAACAAGGCACAAAATCTGTGCTTCTCAAGAGGTCCAGGCTGAGCTGAAGAATTTAGGTGGATTGCCCAGCAGGCTAGAGCTGGGAGGTGGAGAACGCACCCTGGTTGTCCTGGAAACCGGCTCGGGTCTAAGGACCGCCCCCTCCGCCCTGTTCTCTCCGAAGCTCGCAGTTCAGGAGCTGCTCACAGGGAGAGGGCGGGGCTTCACCGTGAGCCTCCCTTGGTCACGTGTGGAGCTGGCGTTGCCTGGCGCTGCTGCCTGACGCAGGCTCCGGGGTCTGCCGAGTGGCGGGCTCACGGAGAGAAGGCTTCCAGACTGAGCAGCAGATCCCGAGCTCTCTGTGCGGCCGCCATGGACCTGGTTTTAAGCCGGGCTGATTATCTCCAGGTAAACCGGTCGGCGGGCGCCCTCCTGGGTGGACGTGGGGCTGCTGTCTGCAGGCCTGGAGAAGCAGCAGTCGCTCCAGGCCCGGGTCCTAGGGGGTGTCCCAGCTGTCCCCAGTGGCCTCGATTGCCCTATCACTACGCCTGGAGCTGACCACACCAGCCGTATTCCAGGAAACCATCACAACCCTACTGAGCTTACTAGATCTTCATGAAAGTTTACCACTAGGTAGTCGGGGGCCCAGGAAAGGTTAAGTAATTTGCCCTGTACTTAAAAAATTATGTGGTTGCTATTTGAATCAAAGTGTGGGACTCCAGAGCCAATATCCGTTCAGTGCATGACTACTTCCCAGGAGGTTGGACCAGATACTTCACTTTTTATCTTATGGATGCTGATTGCTACATCCTGTTAATGTCGCTTGGTCTGGCCAATTAGTCACCATCTCCATGGGTTGGTAGGGCCTACAACCTCCTTGTTCGACTTTCCCCGAGCCATGGTTCAAAGCACTTGAAAATGTCAAGGTAAACAGATTGTTTAAAACTTTTAACACCATGCCTAAAAATTCAGAATACAGTCATATCTGTACTATAAGCAGTTCCATGACGGGTTGTTTTTAAGTTCTCTCCTGCTTCTGGTGACAGTTGCCTCTGATGAACAAGCCATGCACGCTGCTTTCACCCCCCCCCCCCACCTTTTGTAAAATAGTCACCATAGTTACACTGGATGGTTTGAACATCAGCGTCAATGTCACTTCAGCAAAAGCCCCCCATTTTCCATCACTCTTCATCAGTGATGTTACAGAATTATTTTTTACTTAATTATGATACATTTGGGGCTGTTTGCTGTATTCTGACTTTTTCTGACTTCATTGGTAAATGTTAACTAATAAGAATATTCATTTCAGTGAAAGAATTAAAAACTCATTATGATCCGGTCTTTTGTTCTTTTTAAATTTCCGATGTAATAACGTCAAAGTAGAGTGTGGCAGCAGACTCTCACCGGTTGGCTGGTCTGTTTGCTTAGGTGGGAGTGACCTCTCAGAAGACTATGAAGTTGCTTCCTGCCTCAAGACAAAGAGCTACACAAAAGGTGCAGTAGGCATTGACTTGTCCACCTTCTCCAGGCTGTACCGGGAGAGGCTCATCCTGCCATCCTTATTAGTAACTTAATGTGTAATAAGTGCTAATGTCAACATGAAAAATGAGCGTCTTTAACTTCAGTAGAAGATGAAATATGAATAAATCTTTGGAGATAGCCATGTTCTTGGACATTGATTTATTGCATTCAGTTAGTGAGTTGTGTAAGAAAACTTGATAAAAAACGTACATCTTGAGCTTCAGTTGTAGTTCCTGAGGGAAACTTGTGTAACCTATTAGAGACCCTGAAGTCAATCCCTAGAACTGCAAAACAAAACACTCCTTTTCCTGGTAATAATTCATTTTGTGTACCCGATGTATGTGTGTAAAAAGAAGTGCAAAATATAACAGAATTTTGATAATGTAATTCCTTGCAAGTTCCTATTCTGTTGTTTTGATTTTATTTATTTTTGAGACCAGTTTCCATGTAGCTGAGGCTGGCCTTGAACTCTCAATCTTTCTGCCTCATCATCAAAAGTTCAGGAATTATAGGCATGTGCAATCATGCCTGGTTTAAATTTTCTCTTATCGTTAGAGTTATTGTCTTTAATGTTGAACTTTGGATTAACTTGGCTTCTTATAGACATAAACCAATTATTTTTGTAGGATAGTAGGGTATTTTAATAGTTGCAAAGCAAATGTATTACTTTGACATATCAACATTTTCAAGATGAATGTAGAGAGGTTTCTTTTTTTCTTGATAAACATACTTAAATACATTACTTAACCTTTGGCTACTTTTTTGAATTGATTTGAATAAGGGTGGTCTCTCTAAGGTATTTAAATATGAGAAAAATCTGACCTTTTAAACAGAACTTCAAGAGAATCAACTGATTCCTGATTATTGTTTACTAGATTCTAGATATAAAAGCACGTCTCAAGAATTTTAATCATTTAAATTGTTGAGGATCTGAAAGAACTTATTTATGTAATATCAGTACTTATGCTATTAAATTTAAATCTAAGAAGTATTTAAAATAGCAAAAGAATCAAACTCATGTTTACACAAAAACTTATTTGTATTAAAAGTGTATTTTCAAAATAGAAGAATTTAGAAATAACAGTGAAATATTTTTGAAAATTCTGAAATGTGTGTCAAAAGCAAAGGTAGGTGGTTTCTTTTCTGCATTCAGTCTGTTATGGTGTTTTGTTTTGGTTGTAATAAATAGAGAAAAGCCTCACTAAATCAGCTTGCATGAATACATAGTTGAAAATAAAGGAAGACATTTTAAGTAGCTTTTTCAGATTACTCTAACTTTTGATGCTGTCTTTAAATTGATGAGGTTTCTTGGCTATCCCTGCAGTGTGTCATCTGAAGGCACTGTGAACTTTTCAGCATGACAGTAAGTGCACACTCTCAATCAATCTGTTACAGGCAGTTGTTGGAGATCAGGACGGGGTCGTAATGTGCTTCGGCATGAAGAAAGGAGAGGCGGTGGTGAGTGGAGCTATTTAAGGCAAGGTTTTTCCAAAAGACAGATGCTCTCCTTGCTGAACAATCCTAAGTTATAAGTTTCCTAAAATATAGAAATGGAAAAATAAATTGTAACATGATATATAATCATAGCTTTTATAGTCAAGGAAAATGTTTACAACAATAAGGTAACTTGTACGCAACTTTTTCCTCAATTTATTTTTGCAGCCAGTCTTCAAGACTTTACCAGGACAGAAGATTTCGAGGCTGGAACTAGGAGGAGTTCTCAACACACCCCAGGAGAAAATCTTCCTTGCTGCAGGGTCTGAAATCAGAGGCTTCACAAAGAGAGGAAAACAGTTTCTCTCCTTTGAGACAAACCTCACTGAAAGCATTAAAGCTATGTATGCTTCATTCTCTTTCAAGTTTATATATGCATCTATATATATAACACATTGGTTTGATATAAAACATCTTATTAAATTGGTATATGCTAGTAGGTTTTCTGGAAAATAAAACTGGCTACAGGTATTTCCCTAGTCAAAACCTTGAATCAATGCAAAGTTGATTGACTTTTGTAATGTATTTAACTGTATAGTATGTATTTGTGTGTAGACACTCACATTCACTTTTTGTTTGAGAGGCATTTCTAAAAATATGTTTTGTGTTTTTAATGGATACATAGTAATTGTGTGCATTTATAAATCACGGTGATAGTCAATGCATGTACATGATGTGTGGTGTCAGATCTGGGTAATTAGCATATGTGTCACCTCTGACATAATTTATTGCTGGGAACATCCTAAATCTTCTCTACTAATTATTTTTGAAGTGTGACGCTGTTGACTACATTCAGTTTCTACTGCCTGATTGGTTCAGTTATAATCATGATCAAGGTATATGTAAAAAGTTAAAAACCTCTCTAGATGTACAGATTCCTGTTCCTCAAGTGTCTTTGGTGGTTCTCGTTTGAGGTAGCAATATCACTTTAAAAGCCTGTCAGTATTTGAATATGGTGGCTCCGGTCTGTAGTCCCCACACTTGACAGTAGGATTGTTGTGAATCTGGGGTCAGTCTGAGCTGTATAATGAGTTTAAGATCAGTATGGACTACAGAGTGAGGCCTGGTCTTAAAAACCAAAAGACAAAATAAGGCAAAACGCTGGCCATTACAGTTGATGACCACTAAGTGTTGTGATTTCTAGAGAATTGGGTAGCACTGGTGAAAAATAAGTGACTTCCTGGCATGAGAAATTTCACAATTAAAAATTTAGATTTTTTTTTCCTATTAAGAGGTAGGGGAAGAGAGGGAGAGAAAGATGTATGTGTGGGCATGTGCTGTGGTTTATAGGTAGAGGTCAGAGGTCAGCTTTGTAGAACCAGTGTCCTATGTGAGACTAAGGAGAGTTCTAGGGAGAAATTCAGATCATCAGGGTTTCATGGCAAGCTCTTTACCTTCTGAGCCATTGTCAATCCTGAAATTTTAGTTTTTGAGCCATGGGGGCTAGAGAGGCCTCAATTCATCTAAACCAAATTCTCTCTCTCTCTCTCTCTCTCTCTCTCTCTCTCTCTCTCTCTCTCTCTCTCTCTCTCTCTCTCTGTTTTTTGAGACAGGGTTTTTCTGTGTAGTCTAGGTGTCTTGGCTGTCCTGGAACTCACTTTGTAGACCAGACTGGCCTCAAACTCAGAGATTCTCCTGCCTCTGCCTCCTGAGTGTTGGGATTAAAGGCATGCACCACCACCAACCAACTACTAACCTAGTCTCTTAGGCCTGCTAACCCAAGACCTCTTGGGAAGCCTAACGATAGATCCCTCACCTTTGGTAATCAGAGTAACAAAGAGTGCTTTTTATATTTCTTCCTTTGCCATGATGCAGCCAAGCTGAATGCGTAGCCAGAGACCTGGTTTGAAAGCCACTAGTTCACTCCATCTCTTTTTATAGTAGACAGACATTATGTGTCATTCTATGCAATGCTTTAGTGAAGTGAGACAAGAATTTAACAGCAACAATGAAAATAATTTCTAACAAATTATAATTTGTTTGAAATGCCCTTGTAGATGAATTTAAAACTTTGTGATTATTAGCTAAACTTTGTTAAAACAATTATAAATGAATTATCCTCAAGATAGCATTCTAACCATCGTTCATCATTTACTTTAAAGTCAATTCACTTGAGGTGTGCTTTCCTAGGCACATTAATGTGAGGCTAATACTGGAGCTGAAATTACCCATGCTGTAGTATTAGCCATCAGTCCTGTTAACATTCTGCTATTCACTTATAAAAGGGATAATAACATTCTACATAGTATGATATAGTGCTAATGTGCTAATTTGGGTGCATCAGTTAGGACAGTGCTTGGTGCATGGTACACATTTTAAAAGTTTCTCTTTTGATACTATTTCCTGTTCTTCATTTTTCTGAGCTTTTTAATGAGAAGCCTAACTTACAGTGTTATGTCAAAATGACTAGAAGTTAAAGCTGCATGGTTTGTACCTAGAACTCCGCACTTGGGAGGTAGAAGCAGGCTGGCATAATTCTGCAGCTATCCTCAGCTCATAGAGAGGTATCAGGACAGCCTACAAGATCCTGTTTTTAAGTGGGGGATATAAAAGGGTGGGAAATGAAACAAAACTTATCTATATAAAATGTAAGTAAACTCTTTTCACTACTAAAAGAAAATCAGTTCCCTATGCTTTAAAATATGAATGTCCTAAATTACTATTTGAATGTCCTCAGGTACATATCTGGCTCTGACCTCTTTCTCAGTGCAAGCTACATCTATAATCATTACTGTGATTGCAAAGACCAACATTATTACCTTTCTGGGGACAAAATCAATGATGTCATCTGCCTTCCTGTGGAAAGGTTATCTCGAATGACGCCGGTGTTGGCCTGCCAAGACAGGGTGCTCCGAGTTTTACAGGTGACGTCCTTTGGATTTTAGATTTTTTTTTCATTATTCAGTAAATCATTATGACTTCTTCATGCTTGAGGTTTCTTTAATGATCCCTGCCTTAAGTATCCTATGTAAAGCTGAATGTGAGAAAATATTTTTACATTTGATAATTTCTCTCTTTCTTCAGGCAGATGTGTTGGGCTCTTTGGAGAGTTTTTAGAAAACATCTAGGGAGGGAAAAGGCTATCTTCTGCTTCCCTGTCCCCAATCATGAATGCAGACCATCAGAATGGGACACTTCAATACAGATGACTATTGCCAACATTTTGTTCTTTCATTACTTTTCTAGTCCTCGAAATTAACAGGAAAAATGGGGTAGAAGAGTGGGTGACAAATAATTTGAATTTATCAACCATTTAATCACAGTATGTAGGATAAAGTACTCAGTAAATAATTCTCATTGCATAAGTAAGTGGTAGAGTGTTTGTCTACCAGGCATGAACCCTTGGATTTGAACTCCAGGGCTACATAAACCCGATGTTGTATTACAAGCCCCAAATCACAGCACTCAGGAGGTGGAGGCAGAAGAATCAGACATTCAAGATCACCCTTAGATGTGTAATGAGTTTGAGACCAGCCCAGGATAGATGAGATCCTGTTTCAAAAGAACACAAAGCAGAAATGAATGAGCTAGCATTCCACTGGAAATTACCTAGCTGATTTCTAGGGTTCAGCTTTGTTTCACAAAAGACTATCTATATTCTTATTTATATTTACTTATCATTTTACTTTTTCATGGCATGGTATTACCATATAGTCTCTGTATGGACCAGAACTTGCTGTAGACCAGGCTACTCTCAAACTCACAGAGATCCACATCTCTGCTTCCCAAGTACTAGGAATGTGTGCTACCATGCCTGCCTACATTCTTATTGTTAGAAATAAACCAGCAAGGATCTGTGAAAGGAGAAATGGAATTGCTGTCTTTCAGACTTGCTCATTTCCCCTTTCCTGCCTTTGAAACTACTCCGTCCCCTGAACGTGCCTCTTTTACAACTTGTAGATGTTCTGTTTTACTTGTAGATGTCTACAAACTTTATAATGATTAATGAAGGATAAGCATATGGCTCTTTTCCATGTTGTAAATCTGTTAAAATCTTGTAAATGGTGTAGTCATTGAACTATGTAAGTGGCAAAACAACAAGAAAAAAGACAATAGCTTGTTTTCATATCTGAGTAGTAGATGATTCTGTCTCTTAGCTAGAGTGAGTTTGGGGGACTACCAAAAGGCAAGGCCAGGGTTCCCCTTTGGAAGCAACTTTGGGTGTGCCCAGTTTTGAAGTTATTCTATCTTAAACCCACCAGTTAACACAAGAGAAGACAGAAGAAATAGCACTTGATCCTGGAAAGTTTTAGAAGGTGCTTACCAGTATATGATTTTCAGACACACAACATATTAAAGATGAAAACTATTGGCTCCTCTGTTTAGAAGTTCATTGAGTTGTTTGATCTTTGGATCTGGTTAATTATGTTTTTTTTTTCTAATAAGGTTCAAATTTTAAAAATGAAAACAGTTCGAAGTAGAGAACATATTATATATTTTTCTCCTTGGTCTGTGTGTGTTTCATTTTCAATATGTTAATATATGTAAAATTATTGAAAAACACATTCATATTTATAATCTACTTTGTTGTTGTTGTTGTTGTTTTTGACACAGAGTTTCTCTGTGTAGCTTTGTAGACCAGGCTGGCCTCAAACTCACCGAGATCTACCTGCCTCTGCTTCCTGGGTGCTGTATACCACCACTGCCCAGTTACAACTTACTTTCTTAAAGTACTTTTATTTTAAATGTTTTACAAGTTAATAGATTTAGATATTGATGTTTCCCATGGTTTCCTGTATTCTTTTGAATGTTTTATTTTCAGCTTCAGCTTTTATAACTCTTGTTTTCCTTCAGGGATCTGATGTGATGTATGAAATTGAAGTTCCTGGCCCACCCATGGTCTTAGCTCTACATAATGGAGATGGCGGTAATCAGATTTCAGTACTTACTCATAGCCAGTAATGAGTGTAAATACCACTAAGTAAAAGCAGGAAGTGTGTGCAGAGTGTAGCGGAGTTAATTGTGTTCTCTTCTGCTTAGTTGTGAAGTATTGCACATCTAACTGGAAGTTAAATGTAGGTAATAGCTTTACCTTATGACCACATGGTGACTATTTTAGTCTAGTTTCTGTGAATCAGAACAACACAGTAGAGGTACAACATTTAAATGTTTGGTTTTCATTGCTGAGATTGTTTTAAGGTAATAAGAGCATGGCATGGACATCACATATTTAGGAGTCCATTGGAACTACCTTGAAGCAGAGGAGTAATGATAGTTTTGCTTCTAGATAGCCAAGGACTGGATTTCTTAGAAAAGAAGAAATGTCAGGTAAAGGAATTTAGTTCAGAAATTTTAAATGTAATTAAAAGGTATGGAGCCAACATAGATAAGAATTCTGGCACACATGAAATTTTTTTTTATTTTTATTAATTTATTAATTTATTTTTTATTAATTTATATTTCCAATATATAAAAATAAAAACTATATAAATAGTGGTATCATATGATGTTTTGATACATATAGACCAATTTTTAAAAAAAATTACCCCAAGTGAAGTTTCTTGGCTTTTATGTAATATTTGAAAAGTGAGATTTTTGACATTAAATTTTTTTTTAAGATCTAGTGTTCACGTGTTCACTTTAATTTTAACCAGGTGACTCTGGAGAAGGCCTTCTGTTTGGCACATCCGATGGAAAGCTCGGGCTTATTCAAATCACCATATCCAAGCCAATACACAAATGGGAAATTCGAAATGACAAAAAGCGGGGAGGTACATTTCAATATAGTTCAGATTATGAAATTTCAACAATTATTTAATAAAACAGAGTATGCAATTTATTCTGTTTTAATTATATTATATAGCAGGCTTAGTGATTAACAGAGACACCTCTGACTTATCCACTATTTAATTATGGCATCTATTGTATTATAGATGTAATTTTTAAAATAAGAAGTTCTACTTGTAGTTTGGGATAGATGTATAGGTTAATCTCCATTATTCCATGTTAAACCCCACTGGAATGGAGACTTATTAGAGATCTGAGGCATTTGGTGGGATGTAAAGAATGTATTAGTGGGTCAGAAACTATTTGTTTTCTAAAGAGTTTATAAATTTCCCAACTTGGTAGGTAGTGAGATAGCTATTTATATGTACAGGATATTTGTGTATTTATCCTTTAGCAAATACTTGCTAGGGGAAACAAAGAAGAGCTGACTGGTCACATGCGGAGAACACAGGTTTAGTGTATGGAGGAGGGACAATGGAAGTGGCTCCTTAGACTCGATGATCAGAGAAAGTGCTTTAGAAAAGAGGAATTTGAGCTGAGAAGGTGTGGGGGAAAGAATATTCTGAGGAGGAAAAAATATTTGCAAAGCCCTTGAGACAGGTGAGCATGATTCATTGGGAGGCAGTAATGTGGCCCGAGGAGACGTTAGAGGAGTAAGGCCAAACTGCAGGCCTTTGAAGCCTCGGAGGAGTGAATTTTAATTAGAGTGCAGTGGGAAGTCCAGGGAGAATTGTATGTGGAAGGTGTGACAGGATCAAATTCACTGAAAAGAAGCAAAATAGGTTTGTGTGGAGAATGGATTTGGGAAGAAACGTCCACACTGGAAACATCGAGACCACTCTCAAGTTGTAGTCAGCATGATTTATCATGGTCCACAGCGGCCTGGTTCATCCTTACTACAATGGAGATAGAAAAAGGAGACTCTGTACATGGAGGTGGAGGGTCTTGACACAGAGGGTGAGGAGGATGACATCAGAGATAGAGCCTAGAATTCTTTAGCCTATGCACCAGAGGAAAGGCATAGTGTACTGACAATACGGGAACCCTGAAGAGAGAACAGTACTGATACAGTGTGCAGAATATTAAAGAATTTCGCTCAGGGCATGAAAAGTTTGAGATTCCCATGTGTACAGGAAGGTGACAAATTGGACATAAGAGCCTGGGGCGTACTGAGAAGCCAGAGCTAAAGGAAGTTGTAAATGTAGGTCCATTGCTGTGTAAATTGCATTTAAAGCTTTGGAAATAGATGAATGTAGATGGGAAAGAGAAAAATAAATACATAAGTAAATAATTAAATAAATAAAACACCTAATTATGTGCAAAGTTGTTCCTTTTCTTTACTCAATTCTAATTGATTATATAAAATTTTCATAACTATGTGGTACGAAAATATATGAATGCATGTATATATTCTCCTGCATCTCTTGGTTTTCTAACCCATCACTCTTGTTACTTTCACCAACCCCTTTTTTGTAGGCATCTTGTGCATTGACAGCTTTGATATCATGGGTGATGGGGTTAAAGATTTGCTTGTTGGGAGAGATGACGGAATGGTGGAAGTGTATAGTTTTGAGAATGCAAATGAACCTGTGCTACGATTTGATCAGGTAAGTTAATTTAGAAAGATTTGTGTGGGTACTGGGACTATAGTTTAGCAGTGCAATCCTTGCCGATTGTGTATGAAGTCCTGGTTCTGTCCCTAATGCTATAAGCCAGAAGCAAGATGAAGACTATATACTTACCACTTTCCATTGTTGTAGAGAACATTGATAGTTTGAATTTTAGTAAATTCACACATTGCAAAGTATTTCTTTTTAAAACAAAATGTTGTTGTTCTATCCTGACCTGGTGGTGAGGCCTCTAAATACCAGCAACTCTGGCTGAGGTAGGAAGATCACAAATTCAAGGCCTGCCTTAAAGAGTAAGCAACTTTAGTGAGACTGTCCCAAAGCAGAAACTAAGAAGGATATTGCTCATTGGTAAAGAAATACTAGTAAAGATACTGCCATTCTCAAAATCTCTATTCTATTCTTGGGTATGGGTACCAGAGTACTGCCTTTAAACTGAATAATAAATTCCTTTCAGTATCACTCTTAAATATAATTTTAATTTCTTATGTTTTAAATATTTTATTCTAGTGTTTATGAATCAGAACAACACAGTAGAGGCAAAACATTTAAATGTTTGGTTTTCAATGATGAGATTGTTTTAAGGTAATAAGAGCACAGATGTGGATATCACATAGTTAGGATTCCATAGGAACTACCTTAAAACAGAGAAGTAATGATAGTCTCACTTCTAGACACTCAAGGACCAGCTTTCTTAGAAAAGAAGAAGTGCCAGGTAAAGGAATTTAGTTCAGAAATTTGAAATGTAGCCTGGCGGTGGTGGTTCAGGCCTTTAATCCCAGCACTCAGGAGGCAGAGGCAGGTGGGTGGAACTCTGTGAGTTCAAGGCCAGCCTGGGCTACAGAGCTACACAGAGAAATTCTGTCTCAAATAAACCAAAGTAAATAAATAAATACATTTTCAATGTTACTGAAAGGTACAGAGTCAACATAGACAAACATTCTGGCATATATAAATCTCTTTTCTACTGTTTTCTATTCATTTTTAATTAATTCATTTTTCTGATATATAAAGGTGAAACTAAATATGAATGGTGATATCATATTGCTGGTATCATATGATGTTTTGATTCATGTATACCAAATATATTTCCTTTAAATTTTTTAAGTTTTACTTATTTGTGAATTTGTATATTTAGCGTTTGTAGAGACGTTTGTGTGTAGGTATTTATATGTGTGTGATATGTAAGCACATACCACTGCATGCATGTAGAGGCCAGAGGATAACTTTTGGAAATTGGTTCTCCCTTCCTACCATGTGGGTCCCAAGGATCAAACTCAGGTTGTCAGGCTTGGTAACAAGATTCTTACCTACTGAGATATCTTGCCAGTCCCTGAGTATAATGTTTAAATAGTGTTAAACATATTTCTTAGTGAAAATTCTCAAAATCATTCATTGTAGCCCTTTGAAGTATATGGTACATAATTGCTATCTACAATTGGCTTACACAGTGGCAAATATTCTTTTCCTTCTGTGTCATGATTCTCTATCAGCACTTCAACAAATAAGTGAAAATACAGCAAATCAAATATCACAACTTCACACTTAGATAACTATTGGTACTTGTTAATCAACTTTTCCTTAGTCTTCCCTTCCCTACTCTTTAAGCTACAGTACCCATCATTCTATCCTTAACTTCCATGAGGTCCACACTTGATGTTCCACCAGTGAATGAGAGCTATAGTCTTTCTGTGCCTGTCTAAATGGTATTCTGTTTCAGAAAGTGGCGCACTAGGTCTACAGTGTGTAATTGTTGTAATGAGATCCATGTGTAATTGTTGTAATGAGATCCACGAGGACAGGCTGCCTTGCCTTAGAGAGCTTAGGCTTGGCTTCTGGTTCTGAGGGAGGAGTACAGCTTCATCTGTCATGGTGCTCTTGCTGGCAGATTCCCAGCATAGCGCAGAGTGTCTCAAATACCAGAGAAATCTGATGGTATTTGTGTTTCTCTCTCTCTCTGTCTCTCTCTCTCTCTCTCTCTCTCTCTCTCTCTCTCTCTCTCTCTCTCTCTCTCTCTCTCTCTCTCTCTCTCACACACACACACACACAAAAGCCCCTGAACCAATTCTCAAACTCTACCTAAAGACTTTTATCGGTCAAATCCTTTCCTAAAAGCCCCTCCCCAGCCCTTACTTGGATTAATCCATTAGCACATAATTTTGGAAATGAAGCTCCTATGGGGAGCTACATGTTCCACTGGGCATTCAAATCCTAGCTGTCTGATTGCCTCTAGGGCTGCCTCATAGAGGCTACACTGAGGCTTTCAAATAAAAGTGTCCACAAAGAGTGTTATGGAGGAGGTGATGCGGAAATTCAAACATTACACAGTCGAGTATTTTACAGATTTAGTTCAAACTTGTTCGTCTTGATGTAAAAAATCATCTTGCTAAGTAAAATTCAAGAGCTAGTTCAGAGCCATATACCGGTGGCACATGTCTTTAAATCCCGGAAGAGGCAGGTGGATCTCTGTGCTGCCTGGTCTACTGAGTGAATCCTGGAGAGCCAAGGCTACACAGACAAACACTGTCTTCAAAACAACAACAACAACAACAACAAAACAAAAAAAACACACACAAAGAAATAGTTCAAGCTTCAAAGTAAGCAAGTATATACAGTATCGATTGATGATGTGCTTTTTCTGGTCAGCCTCTGAGCAACTTTTAGTACTACACCTCAAGTCTTCTCTACTTCTGTTCTATACCTTAGTGAACAGCACGGCATTTTGCTGTTCACTTGTGTCTGCCACTAACAACCACTATCTCCCTGGCTGTTTTTTTTTTTTTTTAATCTTTCTAATAACAGAGGGACTGATATAAGAACTTGTGTCAATAAAAATGAAAAAAATAAGACTGCAACTTAAAATAGTTTGCAAACACAAGTTTTTTATTTTAATTAATTTTTATTTTATGTGTATCGGTGGTTTCCCTACATTTATGAGGGTATCCGATCCCCCCGGGGTCGGAGTTAGAGATCGTTGTAAGCCACCTGATGTGAGTGTGAGAGCCAAACCTGGGTCCTGGGCAAGAGCAGCATGCACTGTTACCCATTTAACCATCCCTCCAACCCCTTTATATTAGTTTTGACCAGAAGGGTAATACTAATAATGATAGAAACCTCCAGTGCTCACAGTATAGAAATTTCTACTCCCCAGAGCTTTGTGATCACAGAGGACATTTTTTAAAAAGTATTTCTTTGAGAGTTTTGTACACTATGTTTTGACCATACTCTCCCCCTCCAATTCCAATTCCTTCCAAATCCACCCTGTTTCTCTATCCTCCAGACTTTGTGTCTTTTTTTTTTTTTTTTTTTTTTTTTTTTTAATCCCCCAAGACCATTCTATGCTACCCAAAACACCCTTGGATGTGTGGTCCTCTGCTGGAGCCTGGTTGACTCACCAGAGACTACACTCAGAAAAAAACAGCCTCTCTCTCTCCCAGTGGCTAACAGCTGCCAATGGCTTCATGGCTGGAGGTGGGTGGGGATGTGTGCCAAGCTCCCCTCTCCATGCTGAGATTTGGTCTGGCTTGGGCTTGTACAAGTTTTGTGTGTACTATCACAACCACTATCAGTTCTCATATGCAGCTATCCTGCTGTGTCCAGATGTTTTCTTTCAGTAGTCCACTGTTTCTGGCCCTTACACTCTTGGCTACTTCTGAAATGTCCTCTGAGCCTTGGTGGTGTGTTTATGCCTGAGCGCTCCACAGTCTCCTGTTCTCTGCACCTTGGGCCAGCTGTGTTGATCACCATCTGCTGCAAGTAGAAGCTTCTCAGATGAGTGACAGATGCACTGATAAGTCAGTGGGAGCCAGTTTAATGCTGTGTTCCATTTATCAGCAGGTGTAATCGTAGGAGGTTCTCCCCTAAGGCCTAGGACTTAACCATAGATTCTTGGCCCGATAATGGTGCCAGATTAGTGAAGGTAATTTCAATGTAAGTTTTTGGTCATAGATAAATGTAATATAATTCCATACTGGACTGAAAGATCGCTCAGTATTTAAGAGCATGTACTGCTCTCAAAGAGGACCCAAGTTTTATTCCCAGCATGCATATTAATGGTTCACAACAGCCTATAACTCTGGCTCCAAGATGTTCTGAGGCTTCAGGTTTCCCTGGGTATTTGTACTCATGTGCACATACCTCCCCCCCCCATACATCCATACAAATAAATAAATATATGTTTAAGGAATTCCATCTAATTATATTAAAACGCATATGAGTATATTACATTAAAATGAAAGTATGTGTGGAAAGTGGAATGAAAATAAACGTTGATATGTCATGCACACACACACACACACACACACTTTTTTTTTTAAAGTGGAGGAGCCAGCAAGATGGGATAGTGGGTGAGGGTGTTTGCCACACAAGCCTGGCAAACTGATTTCAATCTCCATGTCATGTGAGGTAAAAAGGGGAGAAGGGAGAAATGACTCCTCCGGATTTTCTTCTGACCTCCACATACACACTGTAGCCTGCATGCTCATACACACACACATGCACACATGCACACACACACACACACATGCATACATACACACATGCATACACACATACACGCACATATATATACACACACACACATACACGCACATACATACACATACACACAAACACATTACATATACATATATATAATTATAATGAATAATACAAATTTTTTTGGTTTTTTTTTTTTTTTTTTTTGAGACAAAATTTCCCTGTGTAGCTTTGGAGCCTGTCCTGGAACTCATTCTGTAGATCAGGCTGGTCTCAAACTCACAGAGATCTGGCTATCTCTGTCCCCCCGCTACCCTCAGTGCTAGGATTAAAGGTGTGTACCACCACTGCCTGGTATATTTTAAAATAAAAATAAAAGTTTAAGAATAAAAAGGAACAATGTAACATTTCTGTTTCTTTCAGTTATTCTAACTGTTATCTCTTACTTTCAATGTCAGTGATTGTATACACAAATTTTTCCTGGTATTTAGGTTCACTGGGTATGATTTTTAAATGTCATGGTTTTATTTTAAAATATATAACTTCCATAAGTTTATGTTGACAGTTCTAGAAGTTAACTTAATAACATACAGCAAACACATATTTTTTCCCATTAAAGAAAAAAATTTTGGAAGAAATTTACTGACTAGACTAAATTTACCAGCTGTTTTGTTTATATGATTTTCCAAATCTTCCTTCTTTAGAGAAATAGTTTTGTTTTTTAAATGATTATGCTGTGTTATTCACAAATATGCTGGTTATTTTGATTCTTTTTTGCTGTATTTAAAAATGCTGGAATTTTCTAGCATTTGTTCAGATTTTTCTCTCCTAATCTTAGTGTCTGCACATGATACATATACTCTAAATATATATTAAATATCTGTAGACAAGAAGAGGGGCTTTGTAGCTTATTTTAACATGTCTTTGAAATGTTTAAATATTAACAAGAGGTTAATATTCCATTATTTTAGATGTTGTCTGAAAGCATTACATCGATCCAGGGTGGTTGCTTAGGGAAAGATGGTTATGATGAAATTGTGCTGGCCACGTATTCAGGTAATGTGATGGTAATGGACCGTTGAAGGGAGATGAGAAAGTAAAGTTACTTTTTGACTAATTTGATTTTTTTTACGTGTGTGTGTGTGTGAGAGAGAGAGAGAGAGTGAGTGAGTGAGAGAGAGAGAGAGAGAGAGAGAGAGAGGTAGTATATAATGTATGTGCTTGCCAAGCCTGACAACTGAGTTCCCTGTGGGGGAAGGAGAGACTTCTTTCAGTCATGTGCCTGGCATGTTTATCCCTCCCTCCCTCCACACCTGTCCAAATAAATGTAATATTAAAGAAAAATAAGGAAAATGGCTGGGAACATACCTCAGTGGTTTTATTGCCTCGCATGTGTAGGGCCCCTGTGTTGAATCTAATGTTGGATAATATTTTGAAGAGAGCTTTGCCTGTCTCTAGTAAATTAAATTATATTTCTCAGCTTAGAGAGAAATATTTGCTAAATTTGAGACTACATTTTGGCCTAATGCACTTCTTATAAAAACTTAACTTTAAATAAAGAGGTCCTTTATCCTCACAGTGGTCTTTTGAGTGCGGTTTCCATGACAACTGTTAGTACCAGCCAATTCTGACTTTTCAGCTACCTTTGAACTTGACAGAGTACTGACTTACACCATATTTGAACAGTGAGGTTTTTAAGAATTGAAAGATTGTAGCACGTCAAGGAAAAAAGTAGTGTCACAAAATTTGTAAGTACTTCCTGTATGGTGTGAATACTTTTAGTCTGACCTTTTTGTTCCATTTTCTAAGAAGCCATGGGGCTGTTGATGGTGGTAGACAAAGGGTGTTGTAACTAGGGGCTTTGTTACCAGCTTTTGCTGGCAGCACTAAGTATGATTGTACCTCATCTTTACAGGCTGGATTACAGGGCTGACAACAGAGCCCACTCATAAGGAAAGTGGGCCAGGAGAAGAGCTAAAACTTAATCAGGAAATGCAGAATAAAATTTCTTCTTTACGGTAACATTTTTACTGTTCCCATCTCATCAAAGTTTGTGCTTGTCTTTGCTTGTTACCTATAGGTACACTTAATTTGTTTTATAGGTCAGAATGGTGCATCTATCTCATAAAAGTTTGTAAACCTGAGAAAATTAGCAGTAATTGTTGATTGATCTTTTGAGTTTGAAATATACCTTCCTTATACATTATTCTTATTGTTTTTGTTTTGTGGAACAAGGTCTCTCATGGGCCAGGCTGCTCTCTAACTCTTTCTGTAGCTGAAGATGAACTTGAACTCCTGATCTTCATTTCTGCCTCCCCAGTGCTGGGGCCAGGTGTGCTATACCACACCCATCGGGTGCATTAGTCTTTCTTGACTTACTGATTCAAATGCTGGGTCCAAGTGTGCTATACCACACCCATCGGGTTTATTAGTCTTTCTTGACTTACTGGTCAGAATTGCACTTTTTCCTTTGCTTAGCTTTAGGTAGTTACAATGTTTTGCTTCTGTTTTCCAACACATTACAGATAAATGACGAGAAGTGACTAGATCTTTGTCATTAACTCTAATGTTGACTGTTACTGTGAATCCTTCTGATCTGTAAACTTCTCTTGTTGGACCTGACTCCCTTCAGTGCTGATATTGTCTTCATGGTCCACTCAATGTGCTATGTCCTGTGAAAAGTTGACCCCATGCTTACATACAATAAGGAAATGGAAGTTGATAGAACTTTTACTGACTGGGTACCCATGTAGCCCTTGCTAATTTCACAATAAGGAAATGGAAGTTGATAGAACTTTTACTGACTGGGTACCCATGTAGCCCTTGCTAACTTCGTAGGAAAATGAAAGCTCACCTCTTTTGGTGATAGTTGAAGGCTTTAGGAGCTTTCAAGGCAACAGATTTCACAAGTACTAGTTGCATGATCTTGTTTATGAAGAACACTAGGAAAGCATTATTATATAAGCTAATATGTCAGATTTATTCAGGGTGTCCTAGTTCCTGCAATAAGGAAGTAGTGAGATGGCTCAGTAGATAAAGCACTTGCAAAGAAACCATAAAGACCAGAGTTCAAATCCCCAGTATCTGATGGGGTGATCTGAGGGCTTGCTAGCAAGCTAGCTAGACTAACTGCAGTTTACAAATCTAGGTTTATTGGGAAACCCTGCTTCAGTAAGTAATGTAGAGAGTGACCATGGAGGACCCCACACCAACTTCTTCCTTCCACACACATGTATATGCACCCATTCATGGTGCATCATATGCATGTAAACATGTGTACACACATGTATACCACACACATTACTTCTTTAAAAAATAATACCAAGTATGGGGCTGGAGAGATGGTTCAGCAGTTAAGGGCACTGACTGCTCTTCCAGAGGACCCAGGTTCAAATCCCAGCACCCACATGCAACTCAACACTGTAACTCCAAGACTGAAACTCTCACATAGATGTACCTGCAGCCAAAACACCAATGCATATAAAAAAAATAAAAAAATAAATTAAAAGGTACAAGTAGAGTTAGTGATTGACTGCTATGTTAGATACTCATTATAATACCTAGAAAATAGTGTCAGATTCCTTGGAACTGGAGTTACACTTGTGTGCTGCCATGTGAGTGCTGGGAATTGAACTTGTGTCCTCTGAAAGAGCAGCTAGTGATCTTAACAGCTGAGCTGTCTCTCCAGCCCCAAACACCTTTCTTCTATAACCAAGTTTTCCCCTTCTCTATCACAATAGGCTATAAGCTGTGTTACAAACTAATATTCTTTTGTTCAATCAGTGCATAGAACACTGGGGTAAATATGTAATATTGACTAGTAAATATTTCTTGGATATATTAGTATTTTCCTTGATTTATTACATATGTCCCATTAAATATCCTTCTCAGACCTTTGTCCTAAATTTAGACTGGCTAACCTTCATGTTGTCCCCATACTGGTACTTCTTTGCAGGTAACCTTTCCCCATTAGCAAAACACCCCTTGACAACACTCATAAACAATCTACTCCAACATTTGATAGAACTTCATTGATGCCCCTGGCTCATAATCATCCTTGTTGTTTTCAAAATGTTAATACTCTGCACCTATTTTGTGTGTCCACATTAGTGACTTATAGAGAAGTTATGTTCATTGGCTGCATGCTTTACTCTTTTTCATTAAGTCTACTGTGTTGGCTTCTCTTCTGGTCAGTGCTGTATACAGCTGCTGCCATGTACTGGAGTTGGTTGCAGTCTTGATACAGCTCTATTAGTAATACTGCTATTGGACTGAGTGGATGTTTTAGTTTTTGGATCAATGATAAATAATGTGGAATAATTTAGCCAGTCATAGAAGCAAACATGTTTCTATTGGTGTGAAACAGTCTTCTAGCTCAGCCTCTGAGCCTGGCGCCTCAAAAGGAAATATCTCACGTGTTTGTGCATGCTATAGTGTAGGTATCTCAAATATATGTGAATGATAAGATTGTGTGTATTTTCCTTCAGGAGTGAGTTAGAACATCTGCAGCTTAAGGTACTGCAGGAAAGAGAAAACTACCAACAGTCTTCACACTCAAGCAAAGCAAAGTCAACAGTTCCTTCATTTAGTATAAATGACAAGTTCACATTGAATAAAGATGATGCCAGCTACAGCCTTGTCTTAGAAGTGCAGACTGCAATAGATAACGTCTTAATACAGGTAAGCAGAGTACCTAGCTTCTTAGTTTTAGGCTACATTTAGGTTGTTTTGTTTGTTGGTTTTTGTTTTTGGCAAACCAGTCATGTGCCCTTATTATTATTATTAACAAACATTCTTAATTCTAGACAGTAATTTTAAATGTTTATAGATTTTTGATCTTCTGATGGGTAGTCAATTTACTTATAGGTTATTTGAGTTATGTCTTTACATTTTATTTATTGATTACTCAATAACCAAAAGATGTGTGAACTTCAGCTTCCTGGAGAAGTAGAAAGGTCAATAGGATTTCCTTCTTTGGCTTCCCTCTGGGAGAATCTTAACCATAATATGGCTTAGAAAGCTCCAATATATGCTGAGGCAGGAGGACCACTACAATTTGAGGCCAACCTGAACTGTGGAGTGAGACCTTGGCTCGAAAAAAAGACAAAAAGGCTCCAATATTAATCCTTTGTAAAGGCACTTTCTGAATCTCCAGATACTAAGATGGTAGCTTACTTATTAACCCACAAGGTTGTAGGACAAAGGCAAAGTAGATAATCTCAAGGGATGAAACTTAGGGATAGTAATAGGTAACTCACAACTGTTTTTTTTTTTTCTTTTTTTGGTTTATTTAAATTGGAATATAGTCATGAAATAGAAAAAGATAGATGGAAAATTATTAGATGAAAACCCCATAAAATGGGAGGGTATCAAGTTGGAAAAAGACAACTTATCTTTCTAAAAGATACAATAAAGAAATCAGATACTTAATTAGAGGACGCCTTCTTCCGTGTGTTAGTTCACAGGCTGCCACCCTGAACCACTCCAGGAACTCACAGGGCAGCAGCAGCCTTCTCTTAGAAATTTCTCTGCTGAGGATATCATAAACTTGTGTAACAGACAATTCGTTTGATAAAAATGAACCGTCAGCTAGGGAGATGGTTCAGTTGCTAAAGTGCCTGCTGTCCATGCATTAGGACTTGTATTAGGATCTATAGGTGGCTCTGTGTCTATAATCCCAGCACTAAGCAGAGACAGGAAAATCCTTGGAGCTTTCTTGTCAGCTAGTCTGGCTAATTGGTTTAATGAAGACTCTGTCTCAAAAACTAAGGTGGAAAATGACGAAGGAAGACACCAACATGTGCATCTCCATGCACATATTCATATATTTATACACCACACACTTACGATTGATACAATCAGAATAACCCCATGATTAAAACCCATGATAACCTCTGTTCACTAATAAAAACAAGAAGATTATTGAGGGAGATAAGAATGTTCTCCAATTTGTGATAAGCCAAATATTAAAGAATAGATGATTATACAAATTCATTCTTTATTGAACCCACTTTCTAGAAATATAAGCCATTAGCTGAGCATGGTGTTGCACACCCATAATCCCACACTCAGAGGTCTAAGGAGGGTTCCAGATTTTAAGGCTAGAGTCCCTGGTGAGACCCTTTTTACAAATGGAGAAGCCAGGAATGAAGCACACCTTTATTCCCAACAATGGAGAAGCAGAGGGGCCAGGTCTCTGTAAATTCAAGGCCAGCCTGGTCTACATTTACAATTCTAGGCCAGCTATGGGTACATTGTGAGAGCTTGTCTCCAACAACACCAGGGAAGGAGGGGTATAAATTGAAAGTATTCTCACTCTCAAATTTGAAGACATGAACAAGAGCTAAGGAGAACCCTTAGAATAAACATCTTGTGTACACTTTTGGGGTTTCCTTCTGAGCCTTTTTTTTGTTGTTGCTGTTTTGTTTTTACATATTTGCTGTAGAGTGATGTCCCAATAGATCTACTTGATGTGGATAAAAATTCTGCTGTTGTGAGCTTTAGCAGCTGTGACACAGAGGTAAGTTAAAAGCAAAAAAAAAAAAAAAAACCTTCAAGTCTTGGTTTTGTTGTACCGTTTTGGGTCAAGTCTGTAAGTGCGGTCAGGGTTTGAAGCTGCTATTTCCATCATTCCCTCTCCTCCTATGTCCTGATCCTGAGGTCCTGCCCTACACTCCTAGGTCCTGTCCTAGATTCCCCTGAGCTCTCATCATGCACTTGTCTTTCTTCCCCCTGTGATAACTTACTCCCCCATCACGCCCTACTACACAACTTATCCCTGTAGCTTCTCTGCCTCCAGTCCTGCCACTCACCTTAAGACTGCCGTATGCAGCCAACAGAGAGGTGTTTGTAAAGCACACATGTCATGGAATCATTGCTCACAACCTTAAAAGGTTTCTGTTTTCTGCTGGATGTAAGTCGAGATCTTCATTGTGTACAGGAGTCTTCCTGTGTTTCAGCTCTTACGTATCTCCCCAGCTCACCCCTGGGTGTGTGTGTGGGGGGTGTGCTACCTCTCCTTTCGTGCACATTCATTCTGCCAAAGAAGTCCTTCAACGTTTTTCTTGAAAATACTATAGCTTTGCATTCCCCTGCATTAGTACATGTATGTTTCGTCTTTCTAGTACACTCTGGGCTTGCATGCTTACAGAAAGCCATTGTTCAGTGGACTTTTGTTGAGACCTCACTCTGTGTGAGAGCTGTAATTAGATCGTGTTAAGATGGGGACACACCTGCTGGACTGGTTCTTTCTGTTTAGTTCTGGTAGGCAGCAGTTTCAGAGCAAGGTGTGACTCCTGAAGACACTAGAGAAGGCAGACCATAGAGGAGATGGTGAATGGATTTGGTAGGTAGTTATGTGTCTATTTCTAAAGGGAAGAATAGGGATGGGGCTGTAGCTCAGTGGTAGAGTGCTTGCCAAGATCCTGGATATGATCCCCAGAAGCACCAAAAACAAGACAAGAAACTTAAAACAGGTTCAGAAAAAGTGGATAGTTATCTGAGGTATGAGGGACTAATTTTGCTTGTTTATTCCTTTACTGTTGGGGCAGAATCTCACTGAATAGCTGGCTGAGCTGAAACCTTCTATGTAGACCAGACTGGCCTCAAACTCAGGTCTGTCTGCTTCTGCCTCCCAAGTGATGGGATAAAAGGTGTGCACCACCACATCCAGCAGATGATCTCATTTTGAATATAATCTCATAGTAATCATTTCTTTTTGTTAAGAGAAAAAATTTAAACCATTCATGTCATTGATACATGATTTGTCATGTGTTTGTGAGTAAACGTTGTAGCTCAAACCTGTAATCCCAGCTCTTGGAGGTGGTAGGAGTTCAAGGTCATCCTTGGTTATGTAGCATCTTGTCTCACCCCTGCCCAGTGAAACATCAAGAGGTATGAATTTTTTTTATTCTGAATTTGCCTCATAAAGTAACCTTTGTGGGGCCTGGGGCTATAGCTCAGTTTGATAGAGTGCTTGCCGGTCATGAACAAAGCCCAGGGCTCATACCTAGCATGGTGGTTTATACCTGCGATCTTAACACTCTGGAGGAAACAGGAGGGTCGAAGTTCTAGATTATGGTTGGCTATATAGCTTTGCCAAACTAAGATACATGACACCATCTTAAACAAAAATCAATTGACCTGATTTATTTAGATCACTTCAGAATTATTTGAATAGATTATTTTATGCCAATTTAAAACTTGTTTCTAGCTGAACAGTGGTGGTGCACGCTTTCAATCCCAGCACTGGGGAGGCAGAAGCAGGTGGATTTCTTTAAGTTCAAGACCAGGCTTGTCTACAGTGAGTTCCAGGAAAGCTGGGGCTATACAGAGAATCCCTGTCTCAAGAAAAAAAAAAAGGAAAGAAAAGAAAAGAAAGGACAGAAGGAAGGGAGAAAAGAAAGAAAGAGAAGGAGAGAAAGAAAGAGGAAGAAAAAAGAAAGGAAAAGAAAAAATGTTTCTAGGACGGTGGCTTCTTAAGAAAGAATGCTCATTGTGGAGAATTGAAATGTTTTAAAAAGTAGAAAAACAAATACCATCATCTCCACACATCTCTCACTTTCAGCATATGGCTCCCTCCTCACTGTCTTCTTTGCTGCTCTTAAATTGAAGATGGAAGTTTCTGTCCTGCCTGGTCCCACAGCCATTTTGTCCCAAATAAACACACAGACGCTTATGTTAATTATAAACTGGCCAATGTCTCAGGCTTCTTGTTGGCTAGCTCTCTCTTAATTATTAACCCATATCTATTAATTTGTGTACCTCCACATGGTCTTAGTTTACTGGTGATACCTGGGCCCCTTGCTTCCTCAGCCTATTACCCTTCTCTATCCCAGTTTGGATTTCCCACCTGGCTAAATCCTGCCTGTCCATTGGCCAAAACAGCTCTATTCATCAACCAATAAGAAAAACTATATTCACAACACACAGAAGGATATCTCCTATCATGTCCTCTTCTCTGGCTAAATAAAAAGGAAGGTTTTATATAACAAAACAGTTATCAAGCAAGAACTATATATAGTAAGCAACATTTAATTCACTAACATTTGAAAATTTTTAAAGAAAATATTCTATCATCTATCTTTGTGAGTCTAAAGTTTTGTGTGCAACTTTTCCTTTATCATAATTAAGGAAAGCCATAACCATAACTATCTGTCTTCAACTCCATCAAAGACCCCAGAAGGATAATATTTAAACTCTAGAGTTGACAGAGACATCTCCCTGCTTGGACAGTCACCCAAAGTCCCTCTGTAATATTGGGGCATCCCTCTTCAGCATATAGGCCCAGAATATCTGGAAGACTTTTTGATGAAGCAGGAACCTTGAAGAGCCATCCTGTCCCTTGGCAAGTTCAGTGGTCACTTTTCTCTGTAACCTGCTTGTATAGTGTGGACAGCCTGCTGTCGAGGCAAGAGCAGTTTCTTGTCCAAATGGCTATCCCTGCCATGTTGAAGGCAAACTCCCTAATGAGTTTCTTCGATGCCCATCTTCCTTTCTGACATGATTGGTGCTGCCAGGAGATGTTTCTCACTATCATGAAAAACCCTAATAAACCATTTTAAATGCCATATTCTGTAGGTCTTTGAAAGATTTTGAAGAATGCCTATCCATTTGAAATATATCTCTGTATATCTAGGAAACCTAACATAACTGTCTTTGTCATTTCTCATATTTTGGAAGTCGCTTGCTCAAACTTCCTGCTTATTCAGTTAATAGTATTGCCTTCTCGGGTCTCCGAGGGATTTGAAGACTAGATAGTCTAGTTATAGTTTTCCTTATTTACTAGACTCAGAAAAGAAACTTACTAAAGATATAAAGATGTGTTACATGTAATAGGTTTAAAAGACATTAAAAGATAATTTGGTAATGCAAATTAGAATAGAAAATAAATTAAGTACAAGACTTTGGACTCACCCAGAAAGAATAGATAATGGAGTGTTTTCTCTGAATTTGTCAAGTGCTAAGGGACTAGACATTGTTAATGTAATTATTGCCTGTATATATTGTATATACTTATTGTATATAGTTTTTCATATATTAGTTATAAACTTTTTTAAGGGGGCTTTGTGGAGATATCTTGCTTGTACAGATAGAAACTGTTGGAAGATCAAAGAATGGAGCTTGCCACTAGCTAGCCATGGAGGTCTGTACAGACAGACAGGAAGGAGAAGGCTGGGCAGAAAGAGGAAGTGAAATAGCTGGGTGGAGAAAGGATATAAGTGGGAAGAAGCAGGAACTTGCTCTCTGGTCTGCTGAGATGCCAAGGAGGTAGAAGATGACTGTGCCTTGCTCCTTCTTCTCTCTGATCTCTCAGCATTTTCCTCTATGTCTGACTTTGAGTTTTTTATTATTTAGACCAATTAAGAACTCCCACTTACATTAAACCTTTATTTTTTTTTAAGTGCTAGTTATCCAAGTAAATAGCGAACAGCATTACTGATAGTCTTTGTTGATTCTCAACTTTAAATTCTTCCAGTCAAATGACAACTTCCTTCTTGCCACTTACCGGTGCCAGGCAAATACCACCAGGCTGGAGCTCAAGGTAAATTATTAGAAATTGCCTTTATTTCCATGTTGTTTTTATTTTTTGATGCTCAAGAACACGTTTTACAAGTTTGGGTTTTAATTGTGTATGTGTGTGTGTGTGTGTGTGTGTGTGTGTGTGTGTGTGCAATCATGTGAGTGCAGTGCTTTTGAAGGCCAGAAGAGGGTATTACAGTAGAATTAGAAGCAGCTGTGAGTCTCCTAATGTGGGTGGCTGGGAACTGAACTCAGGACCTTTGGAAGAGCAATACACACTCCAACACCTCTCCAGATTCATTGACTTTATTTCTGAATGTTTGAACTTCCTTTTGCTTTGGTGTGTCTTACTTGTGATGTCATTCTCTGCATTGAATCATTTTGAAGGTGTTACTTCAAAATGACTGATTGGATTTTAGCTTATCCTGGCCACTGTATCTGTTGATAGTACTCAGTCACTAACCGTCTCTAAAATTATTGCTCTTGAAGTTTCCTCCAAGTGGAATTTTTTCTAGTTTTCTTTCATTTTGTCAGGGAAGAAGGGTGGTGGGGATGAGATCTGGTCTTATTTTGTTGCCCAGGCTGAATTTGAATTTTAGCGATTAGTTGGAATTACAAATATGAGCCATATGCCAGGCTTTGCTGATTTTTTTATTTTGCAAATGATCCAAGCATGATGATCAACCTTGTTTTATGTCACTTGTGACCTAAAATCACTTAGAAGCAAATACAATGTATTTATGCTTAATTTGTAAACATTTCAGCATATTTAAAAGATGAGTGCTAAACCAGGACGTGGTGGCTCACACCTTTAATCCCAGCACTTGGGAGGCAGAGACAGGCACATCTCTTGAGTTCGAGGCCAGGCTGGTCTACAGGGCAAGTTCCAAGACAACCAGTGCTACACAGAAAAACCCTGTCATGATAAAAAGAAAATAAAAAATGAGTGTTCTTTTTAAAGAAAAATGTAACATTATATAATTCTATTTTCACCACAATTTGACAATAATTATTAATATCAAATATAATGTGCAGATTGTACTGATTCATTTGTATATATTTATCCACTCATGGTCTATTTGTAGGAGAATTATTAAAATCGTGCAGGGCAGGCAGAAGACGCTATGCCCCTTGAGTATTGCTCCAAAATGAAAAATCCCTGCAGTTTTGTATATCATTCTTGGTGGTTGAACTCTCACCAGCTCCAACCAGCCATATTCACAATATCCAGGAAGAATTCTTCAGTCCAGGTGTAATTGATTTATAATATGCTTCTCTACTTACTTCCTGGAAATACCTGTTTCTGTGACTAATACCTCTGTATAATCCCTAATTCTGAGAAAGCATTCTAATTTAGTTTTAGTTATTTCAAAAGTTGATTTCTCTATTTGGCAAAAATGTCCAATTTTAACATTTTTCTTGTGACTCAAGTATATTTATGCACTCGTCTTTTGGGTGTACAGGGTACAATTTGAGAATGATTCCTTATCTTGGAATGGCATCTGAGTAAGGAATGTGGGACAGATGAGCTGAACATACGTGATAGTGATCACTTGGAAGGCAATTAATTAGTTAAAGACTGCCAGAATCATTCAAAGTTTCCTATACTCTTGCTACAGAAGAGTTTGATAGAGGTTTCATATCCCTCAGAATAGTCCAGGACAGACTAGACGTAAGTGTTTGATACCTAAGTGAACGTATTTACACTGTTGACTTCTACTTTTTTCAGATTCGATCAATTGAAGGCCAATATGGCACACTTCAGGCATATGTGACTCCGAGAATTCAACCAAAAACCTGTCAGGTTCGCCAGTACCACATCAAACCTCTGTCACTCCATCAGAGAACTCACTTTATTGACCACAACAGGTAGGACATTATTACACTATTTAGATAAGCCTGCTTTTATTCTTATTTTTTATTATATTTTATTTATGTATGTATGTATTGTATGTGGGTACACAGTTACCATGGTGGGAGTGTGGAGATCTGGTAACAGCTTTAGGGAAGTTGGCACCCTCTCTCCACTGTGTGAGTCTTAGGGATTGAACTCAGGTTATCAGATTTGACAGGAAGTGTTTATACCTGCTACACCACCTCACCAACTCATGCCTGCATTTACTTATTTATTTGTTTGTTTTTATTTTTAAGACTTTTTACAGCTGGATAGTAGTGGCACACACTTTTAGTCCCACCACTTGGGAGGCAGAGGCAGGTGAATCTCTGGGAATTCAAGGCCAGCCTGGTCTACAGAGTATATTCTGAAACCCTGTCTCAAAAAACAAACAAAACAAAATTTAAAAAATACTTTTTACAAAATTTAATATTTTCATTTTTTTCTATTTAGATGTTTATTTGTTCTTTGAGAATTGCATATAATATATTTTGGTCATATTTTTCTGTCTTCCAGCTCCCCTCAAATCTTCCCCCAAACTCCCTTTCCAGCCAACTTTATGTACTTTCTCTCTCTTAAAACAACAAAAAGCCAAATGAACATGGAGTATAGTTTGTCTTGATGGACTACTCCATAGCATGGGGCCTGCTCTATTGCTGTGAGAGACACCATGACCATGGCATCTCTTATAAAGGAAAACAGTTAATTGAGGTGGCTTAGAGTTTCAGAGGTTCAGTCCATTGTCAGGGCAAGTTGCATGGCAGCTGGGAATATGGCGGTGTGCAGGCAGACATGGTCCTGGAACATTCTAAGGGACTGAACTGTCTTGCTAGTCATGACTTGAGCACATATGAGACCTCAAAGGCAGCCTCCACAGTGACACACTTCCTCCAACAAGACCACACCTACTCCAACAAAGCCATACTTCTTCCTACTTTGGGAGCCATTTTCCTTTGAACTACCACACCAAGTGTCACTCCATGGAAGAAAACTGATTTTTCTCTATCTCAGCAGCTGTCAATTTTGAATAGTTTCTTGACTAGGGGTGGGACTTCCTCCCACATCCCCTTCTCTATACTAGGATTTTGCCTGGCTTGAGCTTGTGTAGGTCTTATGCATGCTGATACCATTTCTGAACGTTCATATGTGCATCCATCTGTTGTGTCTAGAAAAGCTGTGTCCTTGAAGTTATCCCTCACCACCTCTGGCTCTTACTATCATTTTGCTCCTTCTTCCACAAAGATCCCTGAGCCTTAAGGAGATGTGATACAGATATCCCATTTAGTGCTCTCTCCTCTTCTCTCCTCTCCTCTCCTCTCTTCTCCTCTCCTCTCCTCCTCTCTTCTCTTCTCTTCTCTTCTCTTCTCTTCTCTTCTCTTCTCTTCTCTTCTCTTCTCTTCTCTTCTCTTCACACTGACCAGCTATGGGTTTTTGTTTTAACCAGAAGCTTTTTTGAAGAGGGTTGAGCAATGCACTGATCTGTGGGAAAAATATGTCATTAGGAGTTGTTTTATTCCTATGTTTCTTTGGCAGAATAATAATAGTTGGTTCCACTGGAACCCATGAATCATTGATAGTGTCAGGCATGGATTTCATCTCATGGAATGGGCCATAACTCCAATTTTTTAAAACGTGGTTGTCTACTCCTATAACATTTCTGCCACTATTGCACCAGTGGGCATATCTTGCAGGCAGTTCATTATTGTAGCTCACATGGTTTGCAGGTAGATGAGACTGATGATTTCTTTTCTCTACCAGGAGCATGTATAATACCGTCTAGCACTATAAACACTAACCAGTAGGGACCAAGCTACCCATTGAGTTCCAGCGATATTTCTCCTTGTTTTTTGACATAAATATATGGTATCTTTAGTAATTTGGTCTTACTTCAAGTTGTGAAAGATAATAGCATTGACAGTACCTGGTTATGTTTGGGGTGGGGGTACAACCTATAGGATCCCATTAAACCAACAACTCAAAAAGATGAAATTCATTCCTGGATAGCATATTGTGTCTAATTGGGGTATTGCATCCCTCATTTAAAGGTGTGTGTGTGTGTGTGTGTGTGTGTGTGTGTGTGTGTGTGTGTGTGTGTGTGTGTGTGTTAGGAAGCTTCTATAGTAGTAGGTTTCATATGGTTTTTTCAAAAGGCCTTTAATGTTAGTTATCCCTCTCCATATTCCCTCTGTCTTCCCACCCATCCTCTCCAATTCCACTTAGTTCTCCTGTTCTAATCCCCCTTTATTCCTTTATGACACTGTATTTTATTTCCCTTTCCTTTGAGATCCTTTCCTCCCTCCTGGTCCCTTCTAGCTACCTATCCTCTGTGGGTATTCTAAAAGAAACACACATACCTAAGCATAAAAGTGAAAACACATACATGAGAGAAAATAGTAATGTTTGTCTTTCTGGGTCTGGTTGCCTCACTCAGGATGATTGTTTCTGGCTCCATCCCTTTACCTGCAACTTTCACAATTCTATTTTTCTTAACAGCTGAATAATATTACATTGTGTGCCTGATAGTTGTGTCAACATTTAAAAGTTAAAAATTATTTTAACTTAAATGGTCAATAATTAGCTGTGGCTTTGATATTTCTAGTAAACATTTCTACTAAAATATTTCTAATAAAATAAAGATATTTTGCCTTATTTAAGCAGCTGTGTTGAGTTAGACTTCCCTGTCATCTATTTTCATTCTGAGATCACTGAAGCAGCAGTTTCCTTAAGCACCTATGGTGAGCAAATAGCATTTGCTCACATTTGTTTAACATTAGATGGCACAGTGGTTCCCTATGAACAGCCTGCATTGTGTTAACCTCAACATCATATTCCCTTCTGTTGCACCTCAAGTACTAGTGGTAGAGCAACTATGATAGTTACTAACATTTCTAATGTAAGCATTTTAGTGCTGATAGGTTTTGTTAGTTTGGTTGGTTTTGGTTTTGGTTTTTGGTTTTTTGAGGTAGGGTTTCTCTGTGTAGTCCTGGCTATTGTGGAATTCACTCTGTAGACCAGGTTGGCCTCGAACTCACAGAGATCAACCTGCATCCACCTGCCAAGTGCTAGAATTAAAGATGTGTACCACCACCGCCCAGCAATGCTACTAGTTTTTTGGGGACAAGATAACATGGGATTAAGCAAAAGAAAACGGAAAGAGATAAACAGTAATTTAGTATTTTATGACATGTATTTGGCCAGTACTTATACATTTTCTATTATTTTAAAAATATTTTATTAGCATATATTACTTTTATATAATAATGGGTTTATTATGAAACATTTTACATGTTCATAATGTATTTTAATCATATTCTTTCTTGCCCACTAACTCCCCTCCTCTCCCCAATTGTCCCACCTCCTATCCACATTCTAGTTTGACATTTTTGTGTGTGAGCCAGCTAAGTTCATTAGGGTTATTTATAGAGCATAGGCACCTTCTTCATCAAGCTTTAACTTTTTGTGTGTCCTTGTTCTGTGACATGATATAGATGGCCCAGTCTTGTGCAAGTTACCATGACTACAGTGAGTCCAAGTGAACAACAGCCATGTCATGCTCCCAAGTAGTACAACTTGATTTTTAAAGGAAGACAGGTTGTATCTCTGTTTGGCAAATGGGAAGTAGATACAAGAACCAGAGCTATGGTTAGTAGCCAAGGCCCATGTTCTTCCTAATGCAACTTGCATGTTAAAGGTTGCATAATTGGAATAAGATAAATGGGAAAGTTTCCTTAGGAAAATTTCTGGGAAACATTAAAAGAATTCCTTTTTTGACCATTTTTCTGTTCATATTAAACCTAGGGCCTCATACATGGCAAACAATCAATCTATTCTTGAACTGCACCCTGAAACATTTAGTATCTTTTTTTTTTTTGAGGCAGGATCTCTCAGAGGTGCCCAGACTGGTCTTAAACTTGCAATCCACGTGTTGGAGCCTTCCACATAGCTAGAATTAAAGAAGTGGCCTCCAGGTATGGCTGAGAAATAGACTCTCTTTTGGTTGCATTTTTTTTGCCTAAAAATCAAGGTTAACTCTAATGGGCACAGCATTACATGGAAGGAACAGCAAACACTGGCAATCAGAGACTTGGGTTCTAGTATGTTCCTGGGGGATTTGTTATTTCTCTGGGTTGTAGGTGTTTTATCTGCAAATCAGAGGATTGCTTGAACAGATCTCAAAAGTCCCTTCTAGCTTTTTATTTCTATATCCTGTATCCCATTGAAGATCCTTGCGGAGTGCTTTAGACTTTCTCTGCTCTTTATAAATATCCATCTGTTTTAAAACTCTTTTTGGTTGATTGATTGATAATTATGTTTTTAAGACAGGTTCATACAAGTCCAGGCTGGCCTTGAGTTCAAATCCTCCTGCCTCAGCCTCCTGAGTGATGGGATTACCATATGCGAGCCACCACTCCTAGCTTGATTTATTTTCCAATCTCTCCCTTACTTTATTCTGTTAATTTATAGAGGTTGTTAAACTAAATCCATGCATGATATAGGGCACTGTTTTCTGACTTGTCACTGGGACATAGCTGGCAAAGAAGAGAGTAGGAATCCGTGCCTGGCCAACCTCAAGCCCAGTTGTTCAGGTTTACAATGTGTTGATTATTTCCAGGAGGTGATTCACATGTGCTTTATAGCCTATGTAATACAAATACTACATGGATTTTCAAACAAGCAAAGCCACCTGCATAACCTCAATTTAGTTTATTAAAGCATGTTATGATGAACAAAAAAGCTATTTACATCACCTAACTGTAAGGCACCTAGCAAAAACAAGTTAGACATAGACAAGAATTCAGATTTTTATCTGTAAAATTAAAATTTTCATTTTTTGATGTGTGTATAAGGTTGATTTCATAAAACTTTTTTTTTAAAGTAGTGCATGCCTGTAATTCTAGCACTTGGGAGAGTCAAGCAAGATTGACATGTATGTGAGGTTAGCCTGGGGTATGTAATGAGTTTCTAGGCTACATTGCCCCTATATACAAATTTAAAATAATACAATGAAGTGTTGAGCTGTATTTGGAATTCTGCTTACATATGTATGTGTATGGCATTCTCATGGATCCCCACACAAATGCATGTCTACGGCTAAATTGCAGACCCATGAATACGTTGACTCTAATAGGCCAGTTCAGCTTTGCTGAGGTTCACTCCTGGGTGGTGTTCTGTCTGCCTGAAGTTCCGGAAAAGCCTCCAGCAGGAGAATGTGCAACATTTTACTTTCAGAATACCTTTCTGGATACACAGCTCGAGTGCGTATACAGGTAAATCAAATTTATTACTTGTTAAGAAATGGCCATATAAAACATTAAAGTTTTCATTTGTTTTAGAACTGGAATAATTTCAAAATAGTGTAACTAAAAATTGGTAATGTTCAGCAGAAGCTACTAAACAAATAGAATTGAGTGTAAAATGTTACTAGTAAAGATGCACATGCAAAGATTAATATTTTCCAATAATATGTCTATAAAATCTTTAGTAATATTTGAATTATAGGTATGATTTCCTACAGTTTTCAGATGGAAGGTTCTAAAGATGTCTGTTAAACACATTAAATCTATGATGCCATTTAAAATATTTCTATTTTTGCGCTAATAATCTATCAATCAATGAGAATGGGGTATTGAAGTCTACTGCTATTATTGTGTTGGGCTAACCTGTGTCTTTACCTCTAGTAGTGTTTGTTTCATGAGATAGAATGGACCCATGTTCAGTTCATGTGTGTTTAGAATTTTAATGTCCTCTTCATAGATTGTTTCTTTGATCAGTATGAAGTTAAATTTTTTACCTTTTCTGACTAGTTTTGGTTTAAAGTTTATTTTCTCAGATTTCAGAACAGTGACAGCTGGTTGTTTGTTACCTCATCTGCTTAGGATAAGTGTTTCCTTCCTTCTATCTTCCAGGAGACTCTGTCTTTGATGGTGAGATGTGGGCTTTAGAGACAACAGGTAGATAGCTAGATCCTGCCCTTAAGTCCCTTCTGCAAGTCTGTGACTGGTGAATGGGAAATTGAGAGCATTAATATTTAGATTTATAACTGAAAGGTTTATATTATTGCCTGTCCTTTTATTGATTTTACAGTATTTTGGTGTTTTCCTATTCTCTCCTGATTAACTATTATTACTCAAGAGTGGTTTATTTTTCCCTTGTAACCCCATGGATGTGTTTATCTTTCTTCAGTCAGAGAATTCCTTCATGTATCTTCTGTGAGCTGGCTTAATGGTTACAAATTGTTTTTTGTTTTGTTTTGATTTTTTGATTTTTTTTTTTTGTTGTTGTTGTTTTGTTTGGTTTTTTGAGACAGGGTCTCTCTGTATAAACATCCCTGGTTGTACTGGAACTCAGTCTGTAGACCAGGCTGGCCTCAAACTCACAGAGATCCACCTGCCTCTGCCTCCCCAGTGCTGGGATTAAAGGTGTGCACCACCACCGCCTAGCATACAAGTTGTTTCTATTATGGAAATTTTTTTCTTGTCCCTTCAATTGTGATGGCAGTAGTGGTCTGGGTTTTTACTCTTTTTCAAAACTTGAAAATTGTTAAGTTTTCCAGCTTTTTAAAGTATCTCTTGAAAGTTCTACTGTTATTTATATATATATTTGATGATCCTGTCTTGCCACTTTCAATGTATTTTCTTTGTTGTGAATATTTAGTGGTTTAACTATAATGACAAGGGAAGTTTCTTTTCTGGCTCTGTCTTCTTGGCATTCTAACTGCCTCTGTATCTGTATAGCCATTTCTTTGTCTAACTTTGGGAAACTTTCTGCTCTGATGTTGTTGAGACTGTTTTCTATATCTGAGAAAAAGAATTCTTTAATTTCCATGATTCTTAGGTTGAAAGTTTCATTGTGTCCCAAATATCTGAAAGTGAAGTGCCGATGATATTAACTTATCCTTGTCCTTGGTTTTTACAAGTGTTTTCCATTTTCCTGACATGGGAAGTAGAGTTTCCTAAAGAAGGCTGAGGGTCCTGGGGTCATAACAAGTGGCAGTGGGTGCTAGTCCTGAAAAGCAACAGAGGTGTCTGTCTTTCAGGTTAATGATAAAGCTACAGCAGTTTTTGTATGATTACATTAAAGGAAAATTTACTTACATGTGTGTGTATAAATACATAAGCATATTTTATATATGGGGTTAGCTATTGGCAATATTAATGTCCACAAAGAAAAGTTTTAAATGGGGTACTTAAAAAGTCTTATCTTAAGAGGACTGTGTGTACTAGGATCTTTAGTTCTGAGTTCAGGAGCTGCCTTGGTATGGTAAAGGACAGCAGAGTACATGTTTAAGTATGCTTTATGTTAATGATATACTCAGACCATGTAAAGTCAAATGAAATTTATACTAAACACTATGTAAAGTTATGTATTTATAAGACCAATTTCTTTTATAACTTTTCTCTTAAAAATATGTTGATTTTGTAGAAAGGGAGAAGGAGTTTTTAAATCTGACAACATTTCTACAATATCCATCCTAAAAGATGTGCTTTCTAAAGAAGCTACCAAAAGGAAAATTAATCTCAACATATCATATGGTAAAAAAAAAAAGGTTTTAAAATCATTCATTCATCCAGTTTTTTACAGTTGTTTTAATAGCAGTTTCTCACGAAAGTGACTTAACTAACTGTGCCTGACCAACTTCTTCTAGAGATAAACGAAGTGTCAGTCAAGCATACTTTAAAGCTAATCCACCCAAAACTGGAATATCAGTTGCTTCTGGCTAAAAAAGTACAGTTAATTGATGCCTTGAAGGTAAGGCTGTGTGTCAGTGTGATTTTGAGCATGATTGCTATAGCACTGGGTTTTCCAGTTATACTTTAATGTTATACTTTACCATTAATGTGCTTCTGTTGTTTGTTTTTGTTTATTTAATAAGGAATTGCAGGTTCACGAGGGAAATACAAACTTTCTGATTCCAGAATACCGCTGTATTCTAGAAGAGGCAGATCACCTACAAGAAGAGTACAAGAAGCAGCCTGCACATCTTGAAAGGCTCTATGGTGAGTAGATAGCCTGCTGCAATTCTTTCCAGCAGTTTATTTAGCACAATTGTGAAAGGAGTTAGGCAGAGATCACAGCAGTCATAAGCCTGTCAGCCAGTTTATTGTACAGAGTATTTCTGTATTTGCCAAGTTAACCTTACAGCTTAACCTTTTTTGCTTTAAAAATGTAAGTAAATGTGAAAGTGGAATTATACTATGAACAGAAATACATAAGTACTGTGAAGAAGTGTTTCGACCCTCAAAGCCTAGACATAGCCACTGTAGTTCTCACAAATGATTTTCAGGTTTTGTTGCTGTTGTAAAAATGCAGCATTTATTCTATTTAAGCAAAACTTGGAGACGTTTATGTGATGTTAAATGTACAATTTAAAACTTGTTTTGCTTTGGTAGTGAGGAGTCAGGTATGTTAAGATTATCTCGATAGAAGATCAAGGCAAGTGAAGGCAGAGGTGGCAGGAGGGTGGAAGGGAGGACCAGACTAAGAAAAAGTTTTATTAGCAGTCCTTCTGTAAGACCTACTGTGTGCGGCACACTACACTGGCTTCCGTGAGATTTTTTAACTGTTGCAAGAGTTCTACAAGGTAGATGGTTTTAGCTTCATTCTCAGTGTTCTTTAGCAAAACATGAGAGTAAAGTTTACCATCACATTCCTGGATAGTGGCAAAGCCTTCATTAGGACCTCCTTTCCCTGAAATGTATGCCTTCTGCCCTGTGCCATTGTCATTTGTTACCATCAGTCCATACTGATTCATTAACCTACAGACTTTCTACCAAATGAACAATAACAAGATTTTAATGTTCACTATATGGCAAGCACAGGATCTCTTTTACAATATCCATAAGTAATGGTGTTGTAGATCTATCATCTCTCATCTGTGATTCCAAAATCCAGAAAGTGGCTTTGAAAACCAAAGTTATGCTGTTGTAAATCATTTACCAGCAAAGTAATTTCATGATAAAAAACCTGATTTAAACTGACAGGTTTTCTAATCTTTTTTTTATTCCACTTAGTGCAAAAAGTATATTCACCTATATATTTTATTGCAAAAGTATTGCTATTTTGATATCAGATGTTGTCAATCAGTCCCTTTGGATCAATACCACCCATATGTTCTTTTTCTCATTTTTCTATTCCTAAAATATACTTGTCTTGGGGGTCTTGTATAAATGATTGACAACTTAGGCCATCCCTCTTTTACAGCTGGTAAACTTACAGGTGAAATAATTAGCCCTTGACCCATGAATCCAGTAACCCTGTAGGTGAAGTGTTTTAGTTCAGTGGAAGCTTCTTGATGGAACAGACATCACTATGAGGAAGTGTGTACCAACAGCAATTCAAAATGGCTGGCAGTGGATCGTGTGAATCAGCACTTATAACCAGTTGTTAGAAAGGTTATTAAACATTTATGTCTTGAAAGTTGCTTAAAACCCTCCCTGCATACACATTTATATTTTTAAGACCAACCTTTTCAAGGCTTGTATATGTTGAATAATGGAATTTCGGGTGATTGCATTGTTAAAGAACTACTAATCAATGACAGGAAATATGATTTTTCTTTATAGGTATGATTACTGATCTTTTCATAGATAAATTTAAGTTCAAAGGCACTAATGTAAAAACCAAAGTACCCGTTCTACTGGAGATTCTTGACAGCTATGACCAGAACGCACTGATTTCTTTCTTTGATGCAGCATGAAAGATAAGAAGGTAGGGGCTTACAGTGCATTCTGTCTGTATTCAGGGTGTGGTGAGGAACAACCACCTCTCAATACATAGAACATTTGTGACACAATAACTTAAATGATGCTCCTGTTTCGGAACTGTTTAACAATGAAGAGGATTTTATTTCTAAAACCCAAGTGGAGCTGAGGTTGATGGCTAATGCTTGAATTCTTGGCACTCAGAAGGCTAAGGAGAGATTAACTGTGAGATCAAGGACAGCCTATGTAACATCGTAAGGTCCAAGCCATCCTGGGCTACAGCAAAAGACCCTGTCTCAAAAATCTAAACTAGCTGGGGGTAGGGTTGTGGGGAGAATGGGGTAGTAGCAAACACCTTTAATTCCAGCACCTAGACAGCAGAGGCAGGGGAATCTCTGTAAATATGAGGCCAACCTGGTCTAGGAAGCAAGTTCCAGGATAGCCAGGATTATGCACAGAAACCCTGTTTCAGAAAAAGAAAAATCCAAACAAACATAAGTTGAATGATTATAAGAGCTACTAGTGACTTTTTTGGGAAATGGTATTTTAATTTCTAAATTGAGAATTGGAAAATGAATGAATCATTTTTATAAAATACACATAAGTATACAAACTTCATGTTTCATAACGTATTTTCCCTTTATATATCATATTACTTGTTTGATCTTCCTGACTGTTCTATAAACTCATCAACTACTTAAGTGAAGCTGATTCGAGTAAGATGCCATACTAGTGTTTTATAAGGCTGGGGTAAGCTTATATGTGTATCCTGCTCCTCTGTGTTATCATGAGGTGGAAATAATGAGTTTTTTCCCCCCCTAGGATTTGGAATGGATTCACACCCCATTTCTGTCTTACTTGGTGACATGATCCTGCTGCAGTTTGTGAAATTTCTGGCTTAGTGCTGTAGATTATGGCCAAAGAAGTAAGCAGGACTCAGACTGGAGGGATCTCACATATTCGTCCTATATGTGACCAGTTGAGCTTCAACGTGTTCAAGTGAAGAGCCATGGATTCTAAGAATTTCCTATACTAGTATCCATGAAACTCCTTTTTATATATTATATATTTGGGGTAAAAGAAAACTTTAAGCAACAGAAGTTTTATTCATTCACAGGGGAATATTGTATTTAAAGTTTAAAAATATTATAAAGATAATGGAAAATCTGTCTCGTTTTCAAAGAACAGTTATGAAATTTTCAGAAACTGATAATTACATTTTGTTATATTTTATGTGCAATTCTTAAATATTAAATGTAAATATATAAGGCAAGTATGTTGGGTCTTCAATAAGGTCATAGTATTTTTTTGTTGTTGTTATATTTTTCTGGAAACTTTCTTGAGACACCCAGGCCCCTGTTTTTCATATGAACACCCCCCTTCTCTCTTTTGAGACATCATCTCACTATATAACTGGGTTGGAACTAGCTATGTAAGCCTAGCTTGCCTTGAACTCAAAGCTCCGAAGTTCTGGGATTAAAGGTATGTACCACCATGCACTTAATTTCTAAATGTAGTTATCTATTTGGGTCCGTGGGACTTCGTGGTGTGCTATTTGTTGGGTGTCACAACCATGGATAATCAAAATTAATTAACTTCTTGTAATTCACCATTTTATTTAAGGGTTATCAACAATAGCTTAAATTGGTATTCTAAATTGATCACATATCTTATGAGAGGAGAGAAAACAGCTTACTGGAATGTGGGGCATAGTGACACAAGCCTTCAGTCCCAGAACTGGTGAGGCAGTGGCAGGCGGATGTCTGTGAGTTGCAGTACAATCCGGACTGCATTATTAAACCGTCTCAAACAGCAGCAAACAAAAAATATATCCTGGAGATATGATACAACAATAAACAGTAAAAGCACTAGAGTTCCCTGAGTTCTATGGGCAGCACCACCGAGAAAGAGAAAAGGAAAAAGGAGTGTTCTGGTAGGGAGGCTCCTAAGTGAGCTGAGGACGGTCAGCTGAGTTCCCTACGCTCTTCCTAAGCTCCGCCCAGCGACGAGGGAAGTTGTTACTCCCGCTAGCCGTCCACAACGCTGTCACTTCGCGCCCGGAGGGCTCCCCTGGTCCGCCAGGCTGCTCGGGCGGGATCCTGGGAGCCGACGCATTACAGACGCTCTACGCTGCGGGAAGTCGCTCGAGGCTGGCGCCCACCCCGCCCTTCCTCGCGCAGGCGCGTCCTCGGGCGCCCGCCCAGCTAGGTTCCCGTCGGGCCTTCGCTTGCGGCGCCCCGGCGCTCTGGTGACGTCACGAGCTCCAGGCACCCTCATTGGTCCATTTCAATAGTCGCGGGCTACTTGAACTGCACGAACAGCCGGCGGCCGGCGCGCTGCTCGCGGCACCTGGGCTTCGCTCCTCCCGCCTGCAGCGCTTGCTCCGCGCGTCGGCCGCCAGGGTCCCGCGCAGCCCGGGAGCGGCGGGCGCAGTGCACGCTCTGCTGCCGACGGATCCCGACCGGAGCCGCGATGCCGGGCAGCTCGGCACAGTCGGGTCGCGAGGCGGGCTCATCCCTGCTCTCGCTGCAGCAGGAAGACCAGGAGAATGTCAACCCCGAGAAGGTGGCGCCAGCCCAGCAGCCGCGGGCGCGGGCGGCCCTGAAGGCCGGGAACGCGCGGGCAAACGCGCCGCAGCAGAGACTCAAGACTCGGCGGGTAACAGGGCGCGAGGGTCGGTGGGAGGCAGCGGACCTGGCTAGCAGCCGAGAGGGCCTGAAAGCACGCTGCGCTTTCTAGTGGGAGTCGGGCTGCAGTCTGCGTGGTCCCGGGGTTTCTGGTACCAAATAGCCCCAGCAACCCGGCCGTGTATGCTGCCCTTCAGCACTAGTGGAGACTGCTTTCTAAAAATGCCCGGGGTCTTACTGAGCGGTGCCCCCCGCGTGTCGACTTCGCCCAGCTGTGTGCCTTTCCCTCCACTTTTAAAGACGGGCATTGCCGTGGGATCCCTTCCCCCTCACCATCTGCTTCGCAGATTACCTCTACTTCAGGGAAGGAAGGATATAAAACAATATTTTGTTTGGTAAATCCGCCATTTTGGCCAGACCTGTATCTTTGCTCCACCCTGGAGCTAAAGTTGTGAATCAATACTTTCCCCTAAGCGTATACTCTTGATCAGTTTGTAGTTCCGGCCAGTTTTGTTTATAGCTTTTGTAGGAATTGCTGTGACAAACCGGTTCACCCTTTATCTTGCATTACTCAAACTACTATTTATCTGGGCTTTGCCTTTAAGAAGTTTATTTTTTCCTAATAGAGTATTTGGGAATAAAAGCTGAGACCCGCGTGGTAAGAAGGCAAAATTCTTTTTAAAAATTACTTTTTAGGTTGCACCTCTTAAGGACCTTCCTATAAACGATGAACATGTCGTCGCTGTTGGTCCTTCATGGAAAGCAACCAGTAAACAGCCTGCCTTCACTATTCATGTGGATGAAGAGGAGGGGACCCAGAAAATGCCAGTTGAGCATAAAGAAATACAGTGTGAAGATGCCCTTGCTTTTAATGCTGCTGTCTCTTTACCTGGAGCAAGAAAACCACTGGTTCCTCTTGATTATCCAATGGATGGTAGCTTTGGTAAGGCTTTTGCTTTTTATTTTTGAGACAGGGTCTCAATCTGTAGCTCTGGCTAGTCTTGAACTCAAATCATCCTGCCTCAACCTCCCAAATTCTAGATTACAGGCATGTGACACCATACCCTGCTTGTACTTTTTAAAGAAATTAGTTACTTGATTGGGATACTTCTAGTTTTAAGGCTATGTCATTTTGTCTTGTTTTTCTAGACAGGGTTTCTCTGTTTAATCCTGGAACTAGATTTGTACACCAGGCAGCCTCTCTCTGAGTGCCATATTTAAAAGTGTGTGCCACCACGCCCAACTAAGACTGTCTTACCTGGTCATAACACAGTGGGTTAGAACTTAGAAGGGTATCTTAGATCTCAAGGCTGATACTCAAACTTACTGACCTACAAAAGAACTCATCCTTAACAGACAGAGAGGACACTGCAAACTATGTCAATTTTAATTAGGTCTTAAGTGCTTATTTCTGCTTAAATGCTGACTTCATAAATGTTTGGCTAGGAGAATAAATTACAGTTGTATTTATGATTCACTTCTTGACATGCCACTCCTGAGAGTGCTGATTGAAGCTACAGTTTTAAGCACTATGGTATCTGCCATCCTGTTAAAATCAATTTGAATGTTCATCTGACCTGCACAAAGGAGGCAGAGCAGCAGCTGCTGACAGCTCTGTTGTTGCTGTGCTCTCACTTTAAAGAGACAGGTGTAGTAATTATCTATCGGGATGTTGGGTGTTCATCACTCCCCACCTTATGCTATGTGTGTCAGGGGCAGGAGCATGCTTGCCAAGCTGGTGCGTGTGGGGCCCAGAGGTATACTTGAGTTTGGGATATCTTTAACCACTTTTCCATCTCATTTCTTGATGAAAAGGTCTCATTGGAGGTCACTGGTTTGGCTAGGCTGGTGGCCAATAAACTCCAGGGATCTGTCTATTCTCAACCCTCTTTTCTTCCCTGTGTTAGGGTTACAGATATGCTACATCTAGCTTCTGTGTGGTTCTGGGAATGCAACCCCCCACATCTTCATGCTTGTGTAGCAGGCACTAGACTGAGCCATCCTCCCAGCCTCCTTAGTTTATTTAGTTCTACTGATGTAGGAGAAGGGTATAGAAATAATTTATTTTTATATAAATTTTGTAGCTTTTTCTTATCTCAAGGTGCTCTGAAAAAAAATCCTTTACCTCAAAAGATAATTTAAATGGTAAAAACTACAACTGGCTATGTTCATTCCTACAACTAAAATGGAGGACACTGAGGCAGGATTGCCAGCCTGAGCTACAGAATGAGACCCTGTTTTCACAAACACCAAGTTCCTTACAGATTACAGTTAGTCTGTTTGAATGCACATGAAAAACTTGGTATTGTTACTAACCTTTGTTAGTTAATACAACATTTAGCTGATTCTCTAGTTAATCCCAGATTGTGATTTGAATGTCAGCCTCTGAGATCTGCAATCTCTTTAAGACAAAACAATAATTATTTCAAAACTACTAACAGAATCACCATCTATTCATCTCTTGTGGAAGATGATATTTAAGGTAATTTTCAGTCTTAGTAGCCTATTGATACTATAGTGTGTGTGTGTGTGTGTGTGTGTGTGTGTGTGTGTGTGTGTGTAAAATTCTTTTTTGGAATTAAGTTCATCCTAAAGCTATGCAGGCAGAAATGCTAAGACCAGAATAGGATACTCTATGTTGCTTTGCCAGAGTCAAAGTTGGAAAGGATAAACAACTTTGGTTTTAATGTCATACACAGAATCACCACATGCTATGGATATGTCTATTGTCTTAGAAGACGAAAAGCCAGTGAGTGTTAATGAAGTACCCGACTATCATGAAGATATTCACACATACCTTAGGGAAATGGAGGTAAGGCCATGTTCATTAAAAATGACTAAATAAAATTGAAAGGATAGTGCTGACAAATAATTACTAGTGAGTTGCTCCAATGCTAAACTTAAGTTTGTGAATAATAAAGTAACCTCATAGTAGTTTTTAACACTGCTGAGTTTTTTTTCTTCAGGTTAAATGTAAACCTAAAGTGGGTTATATGAAGAAGCAGCCAGACATCACTAACAGTATGCGGGCCATCCTTGTGGACTGGCTAGTTGAAGTGGGAGAAGAATATAAATTACAGAATGAGACCCTGCATTTGGCTGTGAACTACATAGATCGGTTCCTCTCTTCCATGTCAGTGTTAAGAGGGAAGCTTCAACTTGTGGGAACTGCTGCTATGCTGCTAGCTTCGTAAGTATAGCCAATTTAGTTCAAAGCCGCCATCGCCACCCTCACCCTTAGTTATACTTTATTGGGTGTTTTCCCTGCATGTATATCTGTGTAGCATGTGTGTACAGTGCCTGCTGAGGCCAGAAAAGTGTACCTGATCCCAAGACCGGTGTTAAAGACAGTTTTATAAGCCACCATGCTGGTGCTGGGAATCAAACCTGGGTCTCAGCCAGTGTTGGAGCCATTTTTCCAACCTCACTTACTGTTTTATAATGGAGGAAATAAAGATTTCCAGCTCTTAACATTTTTACATTGATGGCTTTAGGGACAACTAGGCTGGGGGAGCTTCTAGGAATAAAGGACGAAACTTGTTCTCTAGCCTAGAACATAAAGCAGGCTAGATCATCAGATTTTAAGTTTACAAACAAACAAACAAACAAAAAAAAAAACCCTCTTCCACAATAAAGTCTTACTGGAGCATAAACCATTATCTTCCTTTCATCAAGACATAAAAATGACATTTAAAAGTGAAATATTTTCCCAAAACTGTAGGATTTCCTTTGATTACACAGGAGACATACCAGAAGCCTCTCACTAATTGGCTGTTAAACATCTCAACTAGAGATGGTGGCCAACTGCTAGTGGGAATGAAGTTGATGGAAGTGAGTCTTGAGTCTGTACAGCCCAAGCATTTTAGATTAAGACAAAGCCTGCTTTTGAAAAAGACTCAACTTTAATTTTCTTTTGTTGTAGAAAGTTCGAAGAAATATACCCCCCTGAAGTAGCAGAGTTTGTGTATATTACAGACGATACCTATTCCAAGAAGCAGGTTCTGAGAATGGAGCACCTAGTATTGAAAGTCCTTGCTTTTGACTTAGCTGCGCCAACAGTAAACCAGTTTCTTAACCAGTACTTTCTGCACCAGCAGCCTGCAAACTGCAAAGTTGAAAGCTTAGCAATGGTAAGTTCATTTTATGGGTTTTTTTTCTTTTAGGTTATAATTAGCTCTGGTTTTATGGTATAACGTTGTTTAAGAGATTAAATATATTCAGGCAGTTAATGTTCCAGTACACAGAAAAACCTATAGCTAGCAGAAGATAGATAATATACAATTGCCCTTTCTATCTGTCAGTTCTGTGCTTATGATACCAGCCAATAGGTATTAAAGGTAACTGCCTATGTACTGGATAAGTATAGCTCTAAACACACAGTGCAACTATATACTTACTGTTTATTTATAAGGTTTTGTAAGTAGTTTATTGATATTCTAGGTGTATAGCACTAGTGTGTGTGTGTGAAAATGGTGTATCTTTTATATGTCAGGTACTTAAATATCTGGTGTCCCTGGAAAGGGGCTGAGAGGTCCAGGAGAGAATTTCCCCATGGATACCCAGAAGTGACCATGTCAGAAAAACACTAATTAGTGGTTTAAAGAGAACATCCTGATAGATGTTTTAAGTTCTAAGGGGGCAGAAATGTAAGCTGAGGATGGAGCAAAACATTGGAATAATTGTCCCTGGGGCTGATAAAGAAGTGAGCATCACAGACGGAAAACGGTCAGGATGCAAGGATTCAAAGTCAGAGTCCTAAAAGCTCTTGTGATTATAGTTATTTGTTTTTTCATTCCAGTTTTTGGGAGAATTAAGTTTGATAGATGCTGATCCATACCTAAAGTATTTGCCATCACTTATTGCTGGAGCTGCCTTTCATTTAGCACTCTATACAGTCACAGGACAAAGCTGGGTAAGTATTACACTTGCTGGTTTGGTTTGGGCAGAAAGCTTAGCTGTGAACTTGGATTTGAAAGCTCTACTTCAAGAATCTGGGCCAACTGCCTGCTACTAGCAGGGAAAGTAGTCAGTCAAAAGATGGCGTGAGCTTGAACATGTTAAAGATTAGTGCCAACAGTAAGGTCAACTCTGTGTGCATTGGTCAATGCCAGATGCTGTTAGTAAAAACTCAATGGTTGTCTTTTCTCTATAGCCTGAGTCATTGGTACAAAAGACTGGATATACCCTGGAAAGTCTTAAGCCTTGTCTCATGGACCTTCACCAGACCTACCTCAGAGCAGCACAGCATGCCCAACAGTCAATAAGGGAAAAGTACAAACATTCAAAGTAAGAATCAGATTCTCATTCATTAAAGGGTATGGTAACCTGCCACAGCTGCCTCAGTAAGATAGTAAGTCATGTGGTAGGAAGCTGTTGCACATGGCATTTCCCCCTTGCATCTGGTAGGGGATGGGTAAGGGAACACATGTTCTGAACCTAATCAAATAGAAGTAGTATTTTGTCCAGGCTGGGGTACACAAACAGTTCTGTGATCTCTCCAATGAATATTTACTAAAAAAATTTTTTTCTGCTCAACAGATATCATGGCGTTTCTCTTCTCAACCCACCAGAGACACTAAATGTGTAAGAATGAAAGACTACCTTTGTTTAAAATGGGAGTCACTCAGAGTTCATAATGTACAGTTTTTATCTTGGGTTTTAATTTCACAAATCATTTCATAATGTAGATGGTATAGCCACAGACAAATTATGGTATCCATTGCTTTTTAAATGGTTTTAATTTGTATATCTTTTGTACATGTGTCTATCTTAGATATTTGGCTAATTTTAATTGGTTTGTTAACATTTGGTGCTGCCAACTGTCAGGATAAGAATAAATTGATTTGGAAATCTTTGCAAGTCAAAGTTAATTTGAGATAAAAATAAGACTGATAATGTCACTTAGAAAGGCTAACTTGGTTTATTGTTCAGTGGGGATAGAAAAAGCTTCCTAAAACTGAAATATTTCAGGAAAACTGACCTTCAAATTCTGACATTGAATATTCTAGGCAACTGAACCAAATTGCCGACTTGGTCATAAAATAAGCAAAACTAGACTCTTCAGTGTAGCAGAGACTCCCCAGACTCACTCAGCTCTACTTATTTATCAACTTTTACAAATACGTGGATTAGGAAGACTTTGTGCAACAGGAAAGTTGTACAGAAAGTTTATTCAAAACATAATGTTAAAGACAAAAAGACAAAACAATTTATGAACAATTCAGCTCTTATAATGGATTTTCAAATAAAAAAATACCCAGGGCTGTTAAAGCACTGAATAAATATCCTTTTAGTAGTTTTATATATATACAAAAATATCATTTTAGCTTTAATTAGCAGTTCTCTTCTTTTTCCTCCTTTTCACTTGACTTTTACTTGGTGCCTTTTCTTTTGCACTGGTGGTCTGAGCTCTGTGAAAATAAAGTAATATCACAACTCCATGTATGTCCACTTAATCCTGGACTGGATTGCTGGACTCTAACGGCATCCTGTTTTACAGGCATAGGTCCTATTTTATGTATATTTGAAAGTAACCAGAAATCTGTTTACCTTATTTTCTTTGGATCCTTGTCTGGTTCCAAAATGATCATTTCTTCTTCTTCGCTATCTGACAGCACTATAGGGGCACCTTTAAGAAAATACCAAAAAAGTAAAAGTAACTACTTATCCATATCATTATTAGTCCTAATACTCCCATTTCCATGCACACACAGCTCAAGCTCTGCTGCCTGGAGGCAGTATAGACAACATACTCTTTCCAAAATTTTTGTAAAAAATTCATGTTTTCTGTAGTTTTGTTTTTAGAAGACTCATGTAGGCCAGTATGGTCTAGTTTATTACTACCAGGGCTAACCATGAAAAATGTAGAAAACTGTTTTGTTTGCCCATTTTCCCTTGAATATTAATTATATATATATATGTAAATAAAGCATGCAAATTGACCATTTGCCTATTTTGGCTGGTTGTGAATTCTTGTCTCAGCATTCTTTGTTCACATGCTTTAGAAAAGCTCTACTGTCATCATCAGTGATAGTACGGTGACGACAGCATTGATGGTTAAGCCAACTGGGTACAATGAATGGTAATAGATTCTATACAGCATTTAATAGACACAATTACTTTAATTAGGTGACCATTTACCCAATTAAAACAACATTGTTCCCCTGTAGAAACAAAAAAGCAAGTGAGTGATTCTCTTCCATGAAGACAGAATGTGCATACTGTTCTGGTAAATAACATTCATTTCCCAGCACCCACATAAGGTGGTCACAACCTCCTGGAACTACAGCAAGTTCTCTGCCATCTGTATGCACACCCAGTCACATACATGCACATATACACTAAATCTGTTTCTTTTTATAGCTTTTAGAACACATCAAGTTACACCTTTCCAGGGGCTTCTATCCTACTGCTACCAATGTAGCCAGTTATTTTATCTCATTGAAAATTCAGTTTCTCAGACAAGATACGTTTCACACATTCAATACATAAACGGTGGCTGCTATCTTGTCCAGTGCACATAGAACATTTCTTAAGACAGAAAATGATTTTATTTATTTATGGGTTGTGAACCATCCAGTGTGAGCACTGGGATCCAAACTCTGGCCCACATCAGCTTTCTATTGTTTGAGTCAACCTACACAAGGTAGTTTGCAGGGACCAGGTTATTCATAAAGAAAGCCCTTCAATGCCCATGGACAGATTGTCTGAAACAAGATCTCTATCTAGTTTTTGGTATCCCAAAACTCCCTATGTAAAACAAATATCCTCCTACCTGGGTCTCCCCAGTGTTGAGATTAAAGGTGTATGTTATACCTAGCCAGATGTAATTAATGTTTCAAAATATCACTATCACCAGGCAGTGGTGGTCCATGCCTTTAATCCCAGCACTCAAGAGGCAGAGGCAAATGGATCTCTGAGTTCGAGACCAACCTGATCTAGTTGTAGGACTGGCTCCAAAGTGACATGGAGAAACCCTGCCTCAGGGGGGGAAAATGTATGTATGTATGTGTATCACTATCATTTACATGCCAAAGCATACCACTAAATCCCCAAAACAGCCTTCTAAGACAGGAAATATCCCTATATATGAACTATAATCTCCAAATACCTCTTTATATGCCAGTTTTATCTATAATTTACATATAGTTTATGTATCTGTAGCTATTAAAAGCCAAAAGCATCACCTTACCTTGATTTCCAGTATCAGATACTCCTCCAGTGTCCATCTTTGTATCATCAAGAGTAACAGCTTCATCAATGCCATCTTCTTCCTCCTCTTCCTTCTCAGAATCTTCAAGGTCACCCCAGGAGTTTTCTATTCCATCTCCAATCTGGGCAGTTCCAGGAGTCCACAGCACAGGTTTAGAAACACTTAATAAGTTAAGGAAACTGAATATCTAAAACACTGCTATCTCATGAGCTATTTTCTTGTTAAGACTGCCTCATATAATCCACAGATTCTTAGGTATAAAAATAAATCTATACTACATATGGATGAATAACATAATTGGATATCACCAATAATCAACCTGATAGTAATTTGGTAATGAATGATTTCAAGATTATGTAATACCATGTAAGGATTTTTGCCATGTTATCAGTATTGAAGCAGTTTCTTGAAGGAAAATGAATGCTGGAATTTTGTTTGTATTTTCTTACAGTACTGGAATGGAACCCAGTGCTTTATACATAGCTAGAAAAATGAAGTACCAATAAGCTACATTCCCAGCTCTAAGTTGGTTCTTAAGATAGAAAAATGTATGTTTTTTTAGAAATAAGAGAAGCTAGATGTTACATTATCAATTTAATATGGCATATTTTTCTCATAAGTATGATTTCCCCAAAAACAAGTTTCAATATGTACATTATAGCCTTGATAAACACAAAGAAAATGTTATGCATCTTGTTACTGTAAAAAAAAAAAAAAACAACCCAATAAAGATACACTTCTGGAGGAGGATCAGCTTCAGCAATAATTTCTTCTGCTTTCTCCTCTATGTTGGAGGTATCAACAGAGGCCTTCTCCATTTTAAATGCTGTGATTCTTTGATTTGCTATAGACTCTGCAAAGCCAAACTTTCCACCTTCTTTCCTGTAGGTGGGTTTTGGTAATGGTGTTTGGAGATGACAGTAAGAAAAGAGGAAAAAAAAATTACTATTTTGGCTTTGGTAGTTAAGAAATAGGCTTGCTTAATTTCACTTGTTCTCATTAGCTTTAATGGTAAGCCTGACACAGCCTAGAGTTACTTGATAAAGGAGATCAGACTAGACTGGAATATCTGTGGAGGAGTATCTTGATTGTTAATTGATGAATGAGGGCTCAGGCCCCTATGAGGGACACCATTCCCTGGGCAGGTGGTCCTGTGTTATATCAGAAATGTAGCTAAGCATAAGCCTATAAGCCAGCAATCAGCATTCCTCTGGTTTCTGCTGTACTCCCTCAGCTCTGAGTGAGTTCCCTGATTAGAAGTAAAGCTACATGAACTAACATGGAGGTCTACCTGCTCCTCACGGGTGAATTGTGATCTAAAAGTATAAGCCAAATAAATCATTTCCTCCCATAAGCTACTTTTGGTCAGTGTTTTATCACAGCACAGGAATCAAACTGGAATACTATAGTTATCGAAGACAGATGTCACCATAATTACTGAACCTCTGCTGCATATGTGCTAGATACCTGAAGGATATTCTCTAAACTTCAAATCTGCTACATCAGACAGACAGCACCAGCCTCCACAGGACAAGAAAGTACACTGAAGTACTGGGTACTTGTTGCTTGAAGTAACAAGAAGGACAGCAATGAACCAGCCTATTTATTCCTTCTAGTAATTTGAGTTATTATTTTTTATAAGAATATGTTATCTTTTAAAGAAAACATATGACTTTTTAGAATAAAATCTCAACTAAGTATTAGTATATACAACTGAGATTAACTAAGTAAAGACCAATTAGACAGCTGCCCTTGTGTGGTAAAACCCCTTAGAAACATACATTTAAAGAGCACATAGTTCTGAAAACTTACCTAACTTTCTGGTCATTTTCCAAAGCTTTCTGTATTAGCTCTGTAATTTCTGCTACTTTCACACCAGCTATTTTACTGCATCTCAAAACCTGTTTGTAAATTTGAGCTGTTAAAGACAACAAACTAAATGGCTTTTTCTAATGAAACCAAAACCACGACATGAATATTCTTTTTTTTCCAAATGTGAGTAAATAGTTAAGACAAAATATAAAAAAATCACTTAATTTTTGAAGGTCTAGCACATTAAGGGAACAGACTTGAGAACTTTCTTATGCAACAGTTAAGCTACCAGAGATCACAAATAAATGCTCAGGAATACAGACTTCCTTTCTGTGTCAGTAATCCACAGAAATCTATAGTGGTTCAATCTTAAGCACCAAAGGTGCTGGTGATAACACAAAGTAACTAACATTCACCAAGCACTCTGTGTCCCAGATACTTACAGTCTGCCTACACATTTACCCTTCAATCCCTTCTAGGGTGCCAGCAATAGAATCATCCCCTAATGTACAGGAGAAGACAGAGACCCAGAGGTAAGTCATTTGCCCAAAGGCTATAAAGATTAGTTAAAACCAGAACTAAAACAGCTCCCTGCATATAATTAACACTTTCAATGCTACTTAGTTAGCACTCTATTTTCTAATTGCCTCTCTGTGGATCTAGTATGTGGCTGGGTTTGATTATCGCTGCTGGTTGTATTCACATTCCAAAACTAAAACTTAGCTTTCTCTTAATGTATACATTTAATACTTTAAAAAGTAGTAATGAGTCTTTATTCACTGAAGGAACTAAGGTATTAGGTATTCCTCCAGTCAGATCTAGAAGGACAAATATAGGGAGGGGGAAGAGAAGGAAGGATAACCACGGCCACCTGTTAGAACAGAATGTTTGAACTGAAACCATATTCTTACATGACTAGATTTACTAAAGTACCCTGTGGCTTTCAGTTAAAAGATAATTTTAAGCCAGGCAGAGATAGGGAGAGTCTACAGAGTAAGTTCCAGAACAGCCAGGGCTGTTACACAGAGAAACTCTGTCTCAAAAATTAAACAACCAAACAAATGATAATTTTAAAACATATAAAGTAACAATAAATCTTCTGAAGAGAGACCTCTTAGAGGGAAACTAGTTAAAGCACTAACCTGGTCTTTGAGCAGCATTATCCCACCACTAGACTGAATAGTACAAATTTCTCGATGTTTATTCATGGCAATCACCAGCAAGCCATCCATTACTCGTTCTTCTCGCTCATTAGGGTCCACCAATAAATATGTTCTGGAAAGAAAAATGTTAAATGGTCCTGTACATACCTGAAGCTGAGTGTTGTTTCTAGAGTGGGTTTGTTAAAAGTTAGCATCCAAAGTCAGTACTTCAACACTGAAGGAGCTGTCACTTTTACTCAATGATTTCAGTTACGTGGGATGTATGCTTCTCTAGCCATTACACTTTTACTCAATGATTTCAGTTACGTGGGATGTATGCTTTTCTAGCCATTACAATGAAACCATACTAAGTTAAGATATAACCCAATACTCACCCATCTCTTTGATAAAACGATATTAATACTGAGATAACATTAATTTGGTTCATTTTCAAGTGGCACTAAGGCCCTGTGCTCTAAGTTCTAGAACCTGTAGATGGCACAGAAAAGGGCTGCCTGTTTCTGCAGTGTTTGCTGGCAGACACACAGACACTGAGCTCGACTCCAACTACCAGTATAAAATACTCAGTACAAATAGAAGAATGTAAGATCTTGAATAATTTTTAAAATACTGAAATATAATAAAATATTTTATATCTCTCTTGATCTTATAGATTTTAACTTGTTTTTATTTTGTTTTCAGTAAGGACCACACTATGTTTCTGAGTTTTGCCTAGAGTTTGCTATGGAGCCTAGACTGGCCTGAAAGCCACTGAGGTCTTCCCATCTCAGCTTCTGCACTTGCTATGTTTCTCTCACCTTTTAATGTGACCACTGGAAAATCTAAAGTTACTTTTATGGCATATACATTTTACTTTACTAGATAGTGCTGGTCCATTTTCCTGATCTAGAATTACATAGAATAACGACAATGACTAAAAAAAAAATCCTTACAAAGACAGGAAGAAACCAACAGATCCTCTAACATTAAGGTGTACCAGAACAGAGCAATAAAGATCCTGAGCTGCAACAGTGTTACACGCAGCATACACAAAGCCCTGAGTTCAATCCCCAGCACCATAGAAACCAGGCATGACAGTACATGCCTGTAATCCCAGCACATGGGAAGTAGAGGCTGAAAGATCAGAAGCTCAAGGTTAACTCAGCTATATAGAACTAGTGTTGAGATATGAGACCCTGTTTCAATAAACTGAATCCAACTGCTAGGTATATTTAAATTTTCAGCCCATGACGAAGTGACACTTACCCTTGCTGGAAGAAAGCAAAACTGATACAGATGGGCATGTGGTGGATGCTCAATGGCACAGGGTCACGCTCTTCAGGGGTATACTGTTTTAGAAGAAAAGGCCCAATTCTTATAGTCAGCATATGAGAGAAATATGAAAGTACTTTGAGATCAAACACTAAGAAATGAAATTCTTAATTGTAAGTAACTAAATATGTCTTTTATAATTACTTTGACAACTGTGCTTCTATTTTGATGATAAAACATCGATCTTATGTCTGACCTTCTATCTCAGATGCCTTTTTAGTAGTGTATGTCCACTGCTACACAGGAGCCCTTGGACTCCTCAGAATAAGGATTTCCTCCATGTAAAACTAATCACATTCTCATTCATATTCTCTCTCTCTCTCTCTCTCTCTGTCTCTCTCTCTCTCTCTCTCTCTCTCTCTCTCTCTCTCTCTCTCTCTCTCTCTCTCTCTCTCTCTCTCTCTCTCTCCACTCTCCTTCCTCTGTAGAAGCACTGATCCTGCTTTTGATTCTGAGTCTTTGGATTTTACTCTGGCAAAGTGCCTCAAAACAGCATTATCAAAACTTGGGCATTTGTCAGTTCCCTTTGCAACTCAGGGCTCAAACAGTACACTTCATTATTCTAGCATATAATATATATAAATCAAAATTGACCTACCTGGCAAAATGAGGACAGCACAGACCACTGGTTCTCACAATGATCCCTGGACCAGCACTGGGACCGTCTGGGCACTCTGAGTTAGAGGTATAAGTTCTTAGGTCCTATCTCTATCCTCCTCTATAAGCAGAGCCTAGCAGTATGTTGTTAATAAGCCCTCTAGGCTTGTGGCATATACTTGGCTTAATGAACAGAAAGCCTAAAGAACACATGTAAATCTGGTGAACATCAGTCCTTTTCAGGTACTGTTGGCCTCTCAAGAGTAAGCATCTCATGCTGACCCTAAACAGAAACTAATCATTTCCTCTAATAGTCAACCCAAAGAAAGGGTCACAGTTCTAGTTCAGAAAAACAAGCTGGTTTATGGTATTACTGACAGACATTTTTGTAAGGGAACTAGAAATATCTGGGGCAATTTTGAACATCTGAAGGTTTTGTCTCATGAACAAATACTAGGATAGATAAATACCATCTGCCACACATCTCCACTAATAACTGCCTGTCTGCACATGCAGGACACCCATTCATTCATAAGAACAATCCAGTTTTAATCCTGAAAGCTTACCAGCGTTACTTCCTCTCCTTGGACAGAGACATCAGGTCTTCGGAAGTGACACAAGGCCACGATTGCCGCAATACTGGCAGCATCAATAATATTTCCATCATGATTTAATAAATGTAAGTCTACACGTATCTGCCAAACCTGAGAGTGAATTTAAGATAAAAAGAAATGCTACCTGAGCACAACCAGTGACCACTGGAAAAGTAACACTTCACACAGTTTTTTAAATTAAAGCATGCAGTTGATCCAGTTTATCCAGTAAAAATGCTGTTAATTTTAAGAAAAACAAACACTTGAAATACTAATAGTTAACTTTTCTGTGTGTCACTTGAGAAAATAACAATATGTAAATAAATGGAATCATCCCAACATTTAAAACCTCATTTTTTTTTAAAAAAATGTTCATTTTTATTTTACCTGTGTGCACATTTGCTTGTATGCATGCATGCATGCATGTATGTATGTATGTGCCACACTCAAGCCTGGTGTGTGTGTGTGTGTATGTATGTATGTATGTATGTATGTATGTATGTATGTGCCACACTCAAGCCTGGTGCTGTATGTATGTATGTATGTATGTATGTATGTATGTATGTATGTGCCACACTCAAGCCTGGTGCCCCCAAGGACCCTAGGTGTTAGATTCTCTGGAACCCTCTGAAAGAGCATCCAGTGCTCTTAACCACTGAACCATCTCCAGTCTCCCTAATGTTTGTATGAATCAACAGTATTCACTGTTAAAAGTTTGGGGCCTATTTCCCACCTTTTCACCAGCAACAACACAGAGAGATTCAGTGTCTATACACTTTGAATTTCTTAGACACCTTTCCAAGAGTCGATTCAGCTTCACCAGGAGATCTGACTGCCTTTGGAAACAAGAATGAACTAATGTCATGAACCACAACTCTGAGCATCAACAACAGTTTACTGTGTCTAAAGGAACTTAAGAAAGTGAGGTACCTGCCAGGCTCAAAAGCTGGAGCAGCCATTTGAGAAAGTTCAAGGTTAAAAAACAGAATACCTTCTGTTGCCCTATTGAGTTTTGGAGAAACAAGTTCACAGGAAACCTGTCCAAGAACTCTGCAAAAATAAAGGTACAAAGCAGTCAATTAAACATACTTCTCTTTCAATTAAAGAAATGTAAAACATGAAAATCAACTCTAACAACACAATGTGACTTAAGAGGCAGAAATTATGTACAGAATGTAGCGCAGACTAGAACCAGCAAAGCTGCCTCCACACACAATAAAATGTCTAGATGTGAGACTTCATGCAGAAAAAAAAAGGAGGTATACCTTAAAGGATAGCAGAAAGGAAATCTCTTATTTCTTACATCACTCAAGAATAAAAGGAAACTGAGATTCACTGATAGCAAGATCTACACTCCTCACATTAGAATATGAGAGACATGCAGGTAACAAATTCTGTGTGATCAATGTCAGCTGCCTACATGATTTATAAAGATCACAAGGAACTATGATATTCATAAAGCAGAAAGCACTCATAGTTAAAGCGTGACAGGAAAACTATAAAGGCTTACGTTAATACAGTTCTCATCAGATAGAAGATAAAATCACTGCTCCGGTTTTTGAGCTGCCCGCTAAACAACTGAGTCAGTATATGACTTTCACATCTCCTGTGGTATTACCTAATTGTTTCGTGTTACCTTGTTTTCCCAAGTTCTACAATACAGCATCCATAATCTGTTCCGAATGAGATCCTGATATTCCTGTAATCATAGGTCTGTCTGCCATCCAGCCGCTGTAAGCAAACATCATTTATTGCTTTAACATTTTATGAGCAGCAACTGTGTCTGTCTGCTCCTGGGCCCCAACACCCCTGGCACTGACAATTGCTGGTGGCTTGAAGCTCAAAGGAACTTGCCAGGATAAAATAATTGACCTGACGCTGGGGGAATGGGCAGTCCACACTGGGAACGACCCGAGTCCACACCACGACCACACCACAGGCCAAACTGACAATGAATCCACAGGCCACTGGAGTTCCCCCCCCCCGCAGGCAACCCGAGTCTACACCCACAGCCCCGGAGGTCTCGCACCTTCTTTTCCTCAATGGCGCGGAGCAAGAAGCGGCGCTCGCAGTTGGAGAGCGGCGTTTCCTTCATAGTGCTGGACCACGCAGCGGAAGAGTCGTACTGAGAAAACTCCACACGCCAGCTTCTTCCCGGCGTGGAAAATCGACGTCATCCAGGCGCCGACGCGCATGCTCGGAGCGCGGCGTGGGCGGAGCCAGAGGTCGGGAACCTCTTCTGCCGGGAGGGGCTGTGCTGTTTCTTACAGAAGTTGGCGGCTGCTGGGGATTCAGGGACTTCTGATAGGGTGGAGATTAGCGCCTGCAGCTCAGTCCTGTTCCTTTTGTTTTGTTTTGTTTTGTTTTGTTTTTAAAGACGGGATCTCACTGCGTATCTCTGGCTATCCTGGAACCCAACAGAGATCCACCTATCCCTACAAGTTGTAACAACTCTTGCTTTATAGGGTGGGGGTTGTGAGTTTTCCACAGCTCTTGACCCTGGCCTTCTACCAGCTTCCAGGCTGGCCTAGGTTTGGGGATTTCTCGGCACTTCACAGCTGAGGCAGTCTAACTTATGTCAGAGAAATCCGGAAGGGTGGTGTGGGCGGGTCGGGGGAGATAGGGCGGATGGTGAGGACTAAGGAGGGTGTGGGCTGGAAGTTTGTTGTAGGCTGAAAGTAGTTCACTTGAGGCCTGGGGATAGGGAAAGAAGTGAAGTATAACTTTCACTCCCAGTGCACTGAAACCTCATTTACCGCCTGTCTGCCGTTCTAAGTCGCCAGGCTTACGTGTTCCCCATCTGCTGGCCAGTGTTCTGGTCTACCCACACCAAGAGATTGCATTTGTCAGCTTGAGCAACAATGAGAGGCAATAGGTGGCCTTCTAGTGCCCAAGTACTTTATCCCATCTATTTATTTATTTATTTATTTATTTATTTATTTATTTATTTATTTTTATGAAAATATATATATATATATATATATATATATATATATATATATATATATATATATATATATCTCAATCTCTGGTTGACCTGGAACTAACAGATCCTCCCATCCCTACAAGTCATAATAACTCTTGCATGGCCTGGAAAGTAGGGATTTCCCCAGCTCTAGGCTAGCTACGGGGATTCCACAGCATTTCAGAGCAAACAGTGCTACAGCTCCTGGTCCAGATAGGAGACCTTGGCCCCAAAGATTTGACAACTCTGACGCTTTCCAGTTATCAGGCCTACAGTTTCTGGTCTTGCTCTCCTGTTCTCTCTGGCCATCCTTTACCGTGCTGCCTTGCTTTCAGTCCAGACTGCTTGTGAATTGTTCAGCTGTCTTGCCATTGTCTCAGCTTGGCCGCCAGACCACACAGCTGCGTCTGCTGCCTCAGCTGCTTTTCATGTTGCCCCCTTAGTTCACAGGACACAAAGACAAGAAAAGATCCCTTGAGAGAAAACTTGTATTGGGTCAGATACTCCAAAACCAGAGAAGACAGCACAGGATTGTGTCTTCCAGGCAATTCGCTAAGTGGTCCTGAGCCTGCATCCTTTACTGTTTTGTTTTCTGTTTTGTTGTTTTTCTTCCTCATAAACATAATGGATTTAATTATGGAAAACAAAGAATTTAATGTTTTTCTACCATCATCCCGCAATGTACTGAATCGATATATCTTTGAATTATACTGTGTTAAAGTGTTTGGCTTAGGGATTAGAAAATGGCTTAGAGTTAAGAGCACTTGGTCTTCCACAAGATCTGGGTTACCAAACCCAGCACTCACATGGGGCACTGCACACTATCTATACCTCTAGCACCTGGAAATCCTAACCACTCTTCTGGCCCTTAGGATACTGTGTACAGCACACATGCATAAACACACCGATGTCCCATATGCATAGGTACCTTCATTTTATTGGTATGCAAAATTACTTTTGTGCTTATCATTTAAATAAGTTTCCTTATAATTTATTATATGCTTTATTTACATGCCTAGTTTGCATACCTATATACTTGCAGTTTCATAAAACCTTAAGTGAAAAGGGGGCAAGAGTGGGAAAGGCTTAAGATGCCCTAATATAGAGTTCACTGTGGTTTGTAATACAGAAAAATCTGGTCCCAGCTATTCCTAACCATCGTGGCTGACTCCAAGAGACTGGCAACTGGCTGTAATCAGTGGGTAGCGTTCTCGAAGTGGCAGTGGACTATTCAAAAAGACTGGTGCTGTTTGTAGAGATACAGCTGACTGACTGACAGTTCTTTTGTTGGGGCAGTAGAGAGTCCAACTGCTGCTGAATAAGGAATCATATTGCCCAGCCTCAGTCTTTGCTTATTTACAAAGAAATTAGCATCAGAAGGAACACTTACTATATGAACACTAATAGTGATTTTTCAGAGTGCCCCAGGGAGGAGCAGGCCCCCTCATCTAGCTTACAGAAACTTTGTGGTGCTGCAAGGTTTTGGGGGAGTTGCAATATGAAGTAGTTAAACCCAGGAACTCTAAACTGTATGGGTTCAAATCACCTCTATCTTTGATTGTCTGTGATTCTGGGCAAGTTACTTAGAATATATGCTTTTTAATAGTCTGCATCCTATGAGGAATAAAGACGAGTCAGTATGTGTAGAAAGCTTAGAACAATGCCTAGTGGAGAGGAAACACCAAGAAAAATCTTACATGTTTGTAGGCAGAGTTTTCCTGTCTTGACCACCTGTTCTCGAACATCTGGCAACCTCTTCTCAAATTACTACACAGAGGCTTAGTATTACTTATAAATAAGTGTTCAGCCAATAGCTCAGGATTGTTACTAGCTAACTCTTACATTTTAAACTAACCCATGTTTCTTATCTATGCTCTGCCATGTGTCTTGTGGCTTTACCTATCCTCCAGCATGTCCTGCTCCCTCTGTGACTTCTGGCCACTCCCTCTGACTCCCCCTTCTTTCTACCTGTATCCTCAGTTTGATAACCTGCCTATACATTTTTTGCCTGTCTATTGGCCAATCAGTTTTTATTTGCCAATGAAAGTAAAAATATATTCATACTGTACAAAAGGATTGTTCTGCACCATTTCACCCTTTTTGTCTAATTAAAAAAGGAAGGATTTTGGCTGAGTGGTGTTGACTCACGCCTTTAGTCCCAGCACTCAGGAGTCAGAGGCAGGTGGTTCTCCGTGAGTTCAAGGCCAGCCTGGTCTACAGAGCTAGTTCCTAGAAAAGCTCCAAAGCAATATAGAGAAACCCTGTCTCAAAAAAACTAAATAAATAAATAAATAAATATAAAAAAACGAAAAATAAAAAAAATAAAAAGGAAGCTTTTAACCTTAACATGGTAAAACTGTATGTAACAAAAACAGTTATCAGGTAAGAATTACAGTTACCACATCCAGTCCATTTGTATTTAGCAAAATTAGAGAAAATACTCATTTTTTTTTCTTGTTGAATCTAAAATTTTATTTCTAATTTGCTTTCTATTATAACTAAGGAAAATTATAACTATTTAATCTTCAACTCCATCAAAGACCCCAGGAAGATGAAATGTTACCTAATAATAGGGACATCAGGCTATCTGGACAGTTACCCAAAGTTCCTACAGGCCTAGCATGTTTGACAGACTTTCTTGTGAAGCAGGGACTTCTGAAAGACTGTCTTACTTTGGCGTGGCAAGTTTGGCAGTTGCCTTTCTTGTGTCCTGCTAGTCCAGTATGGACAGTAACTGTCAGCAATTAAAGCAAGGGCAGTTTCTTTTCCCGGTGGCTAGCTTTTGCCATTAAAAAAAAAAAAAAAAAAAAAAAAAAAAAAACTCTGCATGGAGTTTCCTTGATGCCCATCATCTTCTCCCAAATAGATTGGTACTGCCAGGAGCAGACATGTCTCATTGTTAAAAAATCCTTATGTTATCAAAATATCTTACATAGCATATTCTGTAGATCTCTAAATTGTTGAATTGTTTGAAGACCAACTGTTTATTTAAAATATATCATTATTTAATCTTAAAAACATCTAACATGACTACCACTTTGATTGTAATAAGTGACTAACTACTAGCCTGCATTTCTTTATTGTCCTAAGTAGCTTGTAGTAATAACTTTCAAGGACTAGAAATTTACATTATATTGTTAAATAAGCTGTATAGGTACAATATTTTAAACAAGAGTAAAAACATAGGTACAGTGGGTTCTAACAAAAACAATGTTAAATCTGTGTCAATATTCAAAACTCCATACCAATGTAAAATATTTAAGACTAGTAGTTGATGTTTTGTTTTCAAAGTATATTCAATAATATACCCTTTTATTTGTGTATCCTCTTTTTTTTTAGAAAGATATCTTTGAATTTAACTTCTTTGCTTTTTTTTTTTTAAATCATGACCAATAACAATTTGTAACCAAGCCCCCTAAACAGTGGAAAATATCCCATAATTTATTTTGGAGGGATATGAGCATTGTTCTCTAGACTACTTCCTGTTGTTTGGTGGGCACTTTTATCTTTGAGGGATCCTGTGAAAATCTAGGACAATGGTTAAGTCTTGGCTAGATTAGTCTGAGGGATTGGAGCATTTTTAACCACCTTGAAGCTGAGGTGCTCTGAGACATTAGATGATCTGGGCCATCCTCTCCTATCAGAGATTTTTTTCAAGGGGTCTTCCTTGATCAAACCTGATTTTTTTTTCTTTTAAACTCAGAATGAATCCACAGCCTCTCATTTCCTGTGAAAACAAAAGCACAACCCTTACCCCCCATGCAACATACCTTTTGACTTAAAATTTGAAGTTATATATTTAAAATATATAGGTTGATTTAATGTAGCATTTTCCATAGTCCAGCACATGTTACTGTTTCCTTGTGCTTTAGAAATTGCAAGCTAGCACAGGTCTTTAATTCCAGCACTCAGGAGAAAGAGGCAGGTAGATATCTGAGTTTGAGGTGTGATTTACAGAGCTAATTCCAGGGCTACAGAGAAACACTGTCTCAAAAAGCCAAAACACACACACACACACACACACACACACACACACACACACACACACATACAGAGAGAGTTATAAGCTGTGACTGCATTGACACCTCCCCTCCCCCCCTTTTCTTTCCTATCACTGATAGAGTGAGTCTCCATTTGTAAAACTTCTGGAATAAATGTGCTAACTAAATATTTGAGTTTTTATTGTGTCTAAAGAATGACCACAGTAGAG